AAATTTACTTAAATAACATTATGCAAACATATATAACTTTAATAAATATCTTTAATAATTTTGCAAAAACATAATTTAAAGATTTTCGGCCTACGTTAAATACAAATATTCCACTTCGACAAGCTTGGTGTTTGCATTGATGGCCTTGCTAATCTCTATCCTTTTTTACTTAATAAGTAAAAAAAAAATTATTTATGTTTTTACTCTTTTTGTTGAATTCATTGTTCTTCTCACATTAGAGAAATAAAATAGATGCATAATTTTTCTGCGGAAAGCGTAAAATCTTTGAATTTTATAAAATTATTCTTCTAACTTTTATAGAAATACCTCTCCCACATTAAAAAAAACACTCTTTTAATCTTAAAATACATAAAGAATAATCTTTTAGTCAACCTATTAATATTTAGAAATTATACACTGAACCAAACAAACTTTTTAACACTACTAGACTTTAATCTCAAACTTAGATTAGTTGATAAAAGTGATGGAATGAATTATTAATATTATAGTGTTCTATCACCATTCAAAGTCGAAAGAGTTAAGATACAAATTATGCAAGCGTTTTTTTCTCTAAATTTCATTTTCATTCTTGTGAAATAAAATTTACAAAATTTTATTTATTTTTTTATAAAAAAAAATATGAAGCTATAGTCATATACCTCCTGACTTACTTTGACCTTCAAACCATAATGATATCCTGCATATTTATAGGTGTCATAGTTATCGTCATAATGTTTTCTTTGTTACACACAGCCAACACTTGGTACAATATAGTCAGCCAAAATATGGTAGTGCCGCCGTCTATCGACAAAGACGGAATAATTTCGACCCTAGCCGAAAAAATCACCAAAAATTCTTTCGATATAAATAAATATTTGTACACTTTAGTATAAAATTCCCCTCAGCTGTTCCTGGGAGAGGGGGGCTATATTAAGTTACTGTATTTCTAGAGAAGAGCTATATTTGATAACGCTATTTAATAAATTAATTAAAAAAATTAAATATTTATTTATAAAAGAATTTTTGTTCATATACGAATTTTTGGATATTCTTTTGCCATCATTTAAAAACTATTTTTTAGATGAAATATAGGAATTCTTTTAAAAAAAATGATGACTCTCAGATCCGAACGTATAGTTTAGCTAGCATTTATAATACAATAATTAATTTTTTCGTAAAATTAGACAATTAATTACTATGCTAAAATGTTTTTTATAAACTTATAAAAGATTAAGTTAGTTGGAATAAATTCTATAAATAAATGAATCGGTTATATAAATATATTTTTACACTTTCAATATTTGTACATTTATTTTATAATATAGTATATTTATATATATATGTATAATATATGCATAATAAAGTTTTAATTATAGTATAATGAATGTTGATATTTTTTCTAAAAAAAGAAGAAAGATATTAAAAATTTATAATTTTTATATCTATATGTAGTAAGGCTGGAAATACATTTCCGGTCAAATCAGACTTTCCAAGTTTAAAAATCATCCTCAATAAATGATAAAAATTGGGAGACAAATTCCCATGGATTACATATCCCAAAACGATATATATAACTTAAGCGCGAATTCCGTGTTACCAAAAAAGGTGTCAATTACGTATCACGTTTTTGCGCCTCTTTACAGGATTACGTTTTAAATATTTATAAAGCTTTTAATATATTTCTAAATTTTATAGGCGTTTAGGATTTCTAAAAATTCTTCTATAAAAGGGTGCTATTTTTCTTGCTTTTAAGCGGTTTAAACTAAATTTTTTAATATATATATATATGTATATCATATTACCGGATTTTTTGGTTCAACGTTTCCCAATTTTCTTCAAAAATAACATAATGATTTTTAAAATTAAATCTTATTAGTAATCATGGAGAACATTTGATTGAATTTGTCAAATGAAATTATAAGGAAGCAAAAAAGACAAATTTTCTTTTACTTATAAAAAACGACATTGAAAAAATAAAGAAAAAGTCAATTGGTATAATTATATAATAAATAAATAAAAATTTGTAATTTTTCTATACATATATAATATGTCCAATCCATAAAGAAAACTTTCCCTATTCCATTTGATGTATTATTACTTATTTTGAAATTGCTTTTAAAAATAAATAGGACATAATAAATTTTTTTAGAAATGGAAAAATAACTATTTGTAATTTGAAAATGCATATAGATTATTATATATTTCTCTATCTAGTTTTACAAACTATTCATTAAATTTTTTGTCATTCTCAAACACTTAAGAAAATATATTATTTTTTCTTTCATACTGCCAAATTATATAATTTTTTAACTTTGTTGTTTTTTATGGTTATAATTATAAATATTTAAAATTTCAATATACATATAAGTTTTCGTCGTATAGCGAGATTCATATTTCTTATGAATAAACCCTTTGTTATCTCCTATAAATTAATATGCATTAATTACGGTATTATGGTTTGTAGGCCATAATTACCATTGGCTATCTTTTATTTATTTATCAGTCATATGATTGGTTGAATTTTATTTATTTATTTTAAAAATATTTTTTTGTTTAATTATATTTTTATTATCTAAAAACCTTTGGTTGTTAATTTAATAATTTTATCCGACCTGAAAATTTACGGTGTTTTTAAATTTTTCAAAACTTTATTGATATACATTTACGCTTTTTTGAATTTATTCTATCATGTTTTTATGTCTCAAATTTTATATTAATTACACAAAATAATTACAATTTAGAAATCAAAATTTTTACTTAGAAAAAGAAATGTCCATGTTTTTTTTAAAATTCGATTGTGTTCGCCTTCTCTAACAAGCGATTGGTTATAGAAAACAACCTCTCACTAGAAGCCGAACTTGCCGGGGTTGACAAAATTTTACTAGCTAATTTTCTCAAAAAAGGAAAAGAATTTCCCTCCATCCAATCCAAACTTCAAAATATTGTCACTGTTTTATGAGCGATGAATCTTTTAAATTCACCAAAGCTTCATCAGAATCATCTAGAAATTCTCTAAATGACGGTTTTTTATGCTGAATGAATTAGAAAAGTTAAAGATGATAGTTGGCATTGTTTTCTGCATATCGTCAAATTTTAAATCAATTAGCATTTCTAAGTTGTTTTATATGTATCTGGCTTTTCATCGTCTCTTAAAAACTTAATACTTTTGAAATTTGGATTTAGAATTAAACCAATCTTATGTAGCTATATAATAAATTTTCCCTTTAAAAGAGATGTGTCCTGTTCTTTAGTGTCTTGAAGGTTGATAAAATTTTATTAATTTTTGTTTCGATGAATAAATTTCATTTAAAGTGGGATGAGAATCCGTGCTCAGGTTTTCTGAGCATTCTTTGAATATTGGTAAAAAATTATCTAACTGATGTAAGATATTTATTATCAATGGTCGCTATTCCATTTAATTTTTATTTGCTAAGCAGGTAAACTTCTTCATCATATGATTTTAAGTAACTTTGTATCATGATATATATATATATACAAAGTTCCATCGTTATTATATCTTAATTGTAAGTCTTAGCTCGCTGTTTGCTTAAAATATTAAACTATCTTTTTAACATCATTTATACTTAAAGTTTGAACATGGTATATTTTCATCATCTTTGAATGCAGTTATATTCATTTAATTTTATGCATAAATTATCCTTTAGATTTATAGGTAAATCTGAAAAAATTTAAACAATTAAGTTATTAAGATGTTCAATTTTCCTTTAATTTTGACTGTTTATAATTTGAGTACAAATGATTAGTGGTAAATGATAATAAAACATTAAATTTATTAATAAATTTCCATTGCTGAAAGAGAGTTGAGAGACTTTAAATAATCTTCATTCAATTGAAATTTTATAAGATGGGGAAAAAAATTTTGCTTATAAAATGCGTAATTTTTGTTTTCATAAATTATTACTTTTCAAAAAGAATTAAATTTAATTAGCAAATATTATATATTATAATTTGAAAATTGCAAATTTATATTCGAAACAATTTAAAAAATTTAAATTTCCGTGATTCACGAGAAGTTCATGTTCAAGCTCCAAAAATTTTAGGAAGACCCGCCACTCCCAGTCAAACATAATTTAAAATTTATTCACACACCGTTACCGACCGTATCACGGGTAATTTCAAGGCCCACGCCCATCTCTATGTTGAATAACTAAAACTAAATAAACCTATTTCCGATTAGCTTTAAGGAATAATTTTTTGAAGATACAAATTAAAAAAAATTTTCTACAAAATCACTATCAATGAGTTGTAAACTTTTATATTTTACCCTTTTTTCCGTTTTATAAAACTTTCATCTTATTTTGTTTAATATGGTAATGCTTTCTTTCTATTAATTTAAACTAATTGGATCATAATTTTTGAAAATATAAATTTATTAAAAGAACTGATACAAAGCTTTTCTTTTTTTAAAAATATCAGTAATGCGCTACACTTAATATGCGTATTGCCTTAATTAATCAATTCATAATAATCCTACAAAATTGTGTATAGGGATAATTATGTTATTTAAATAAAACGCGTGAATAGATGATTTCAAGTTGGTAAATAGCGGAATCATTTTTGGCAGGTTTTTTTTAAATTTGAAAAATATGAATTTTGACAAAAATGTTAGTCATTTTTTAATTTACAAATTGAAAATGTTCAATCAATACATGTCAACGATGTATATATACTACTAGATTGGCAATTCAAGAGTATCCATACATAGGAGTCAGCTGTAGCGCCATTTTGTGGTTCGCACGTCGACTAATTGTCCTATTTATCATTATATGAATGCACATTCATGTCATTTAATCGATGTAAAACCACAAAATGGCGATACAGCTGTTTCCTGTGTATGAACATTTTTAAATGCATTTAATGAATTAATCGCCAATCTAGTAGAAATCATACATCATTGACGTTGATTAATTAAGCGAATCGACTATAGTGTAGCATATAACCTACTTTAGGTATTTTTAAGATTGTAGTTTGAGAATATACTTTATTTTTCAATTAGACTTTTTATTCGATAAAGCTTATGTATGTACAGAATGTTTTCCGTTGTAATTTTTTTTTTCATTTGCAAAATATGCACAGATATAAGTTATTTCAATTTTAAATGGGAAAAAAATTAATTTAATTAGATTAGAAAAGGTTTATGTTCCATATTTCTTCTTTTTCAGAGCTGGAAGAAGTGAGGCCATGATGGATTCAGGACTTGTTTCAACGACTAGCAGGGTTTCCTCGTTTATTATTCCCATATATGTTAAATACTATAGAAACAAATAAAAAAAACTATTTCATAATGATGTTAATATATAGCGTTAAAGAGAATAAGTTCTATTGAAAATAGTCTACTTTTTGGATTCATCCTAATTCACCTTAATTTATGTTGCCAATTGAATAAAGCATTTGTCAGAAAAGCAGCTAAGATATATATTTTTAAATGATAGATTTTTAATACCTTTCAAACCTTAAAAGGTGAATTTATTCGTTTTTTAAATAGTAAAAATCCTATTCTATCCAAACAGCTGATTTAGAATTCTAAAAAAACGATAAGCTAAGAAGCAGGAATGTTAAATAATAAGTGCCTAATTAGATATATGAAAGTAATTTTAGAGTTATAGTTCTAAAACGAATAATTTATTAATTCTATTTGGAATACATTTTTAAAAATTATAGGATATCAAATGTTACTTTGTATCTTTTGATTTCTGTAATGGAAGGATATTTATTTTCCATCTCAACCACATCTAGTTTTTGTTCGGGTATTGACATACAACACTAGTAATATATTTTAAAAATAAATTGGGATTAGGGATGTTTCCTGTCACAAGTGAATGAAAATAATATTTGTAAAGTTAAATTTTTTTGGTAAAGTCATTATGATTGCGTTTTGTGAGTTATTTTTATATAGTTTAATTTTTATCGGGTTAACATAATATTTTTAGATTAGTAAAAGTTGATTTTTGGTTAAGTCATTATTATTTTTATTTAAATATAGTTTTATTTTTAATTATAATTAATATTTTTCAGCATTGATTCAGGGGTAAATAATTTTTAAGAAATGTATTTTTAATTATTTTTTTTGTAAATCATAGCTTCCCTATAAAAGGGAAGCATATTGATATGTAAAATTCATTTTTTTTGTTATAAAAATTATAAAAAAAATTTTTCGGTTATAAAAATTTGTTTTCTTTTTTATTTAATCATTGAATAAAGTTTGCGGATTAATATTCTAAGAGTCTTAAATAAAGTTTGTGGATCAATATTCTAAGGGTCATAAGTGGCATTCTAGGAGTCGTAAGCGGCACAACGTGATATTCCAATATATTTTAAATAATTTACCCCCTTTTTACTAATGGTGTAAATGGTGTCCAGATCGTAAAGTATAAGTTGCCCCGTATTTTGCGGATTATAAAAGACTCCCCTAAGCGAAGAATACGAAAATTTATATTCGCCTTGACTCATAAGCGTCTTTTCCTCGCCATTTTGCTTGATTTTTTTCGATTTCCCCTTCCGGCTCTTTAAAGACTTGAGAGCGGCCCATGGAAATGCAAATTTTGAAGAGTACTTGATGATCGGAACGTCTTCGTTGTCGAGTAAGGTTAAACCGTTAAATATGCTAGACCAAACGGTCGGCTTGTCGCTGATGTAATTGTATTCGCAGATCTAGAGTTTTCGGATCGTGAATATTTTTTTAAAAATGATTACATAAAGAAAAATATTACTACATTTAAAAAACAAATAATATTGTAGATATAAATTTAGAAAATTTTAAAAGACTAAATAAAATTATGCTGAATGAATGGATATACAATTGTTTTTATGAATAGCAATTCATTTTTTTTAAAAAAATATCTCAGAGATTATCGTGATTTAATTTTAGGCAAAATAAATGAAAATTGTTTAGAGAGTGGGAATATTTACTATTGTTGGAGGTGACATATTTATTTTAAAGAAATGGTGACATTAAATAGAATCAAAAAACACTTAGCTGATTTGACGAAAGAATGATGTCCTGGCATATATAAATTATAAAATTCACTTTAAAATCCATATGAGGTTATAAAGATGGTACCAGTTAATGGAAAGAATATAGTTAACATTCTAAGAGATTTTTTTGCAAAATATGATATATTTGAAGAATAAGATGATTTAAATTGGAAATAATTGATTTCGATTTTATTAGATTCTTCTCATAATCATGAAACTCCATATCTTCCAAGGTACATGCGTTGCGAATTTATGAAAAGATATCGGAATAACATTTTGTCAAATGTTTAGACTTGATAAATAAGAGCAAGAGAATGTCAACTAATGTTTGATATTCTCATAAATAAATTAGGAAGGTACTTTATAGTCCTGGCAGCATAATATGGAATTTACTATGAATCCCTCAAACTGACGAATTTATATTAATATGAGGCTATTGTTACTTGCCACTAGTGTTCTTAAAAAGATCGATTAAAACGGCCCGATTAAGATTATAATCAAAATAACATTATGTAGGCCTAAAGATTTTGTACATAGCTGGCAGAAATACTCGAACATCTATTTGCCAAATCTCGATGCTTACATAATTTTGAAAAATCGACCCAAATCGGGCTTTTTAACAATGCTACTATTGTTACATTTTAAAAAGAACGCATTTGTTTTTTTTCACCATTAACAATATTTTTTTTCATAAATTATTAAATTTTTTTATACCAATGGTGGAAATCGATCGGTAAATAAATATATATTTCTTAAGCTAAATATTTTTTTTATGGTATTAGACCCTGCTATAATCGAATTAAACCCAGCTAAAATTTAATATATATTATTTATTACATACCTTTTGTAGTAAATGTTATATAATCCATCATTTTAAAAGAATAGCTACATAAATACGAAATTAATAATATTACAAATTATTCAATATACCTTTCAAAAAGTCTAAGGATCTAATATTTATGACCTATAATATATGAACGAGTTTATAACCATTGCTATGACTATGAGGGCAAAGTCAGACCCTTCAAGTCAAAAGTTTTAATTTTTTAAATTAAAATGTATAAGTATTTTTTAGAAAAAGTCAAAGATTGTCAGTTAAGAAAAATTGTTTGTTTGGAATCTCTTTTAAGATGGATCATACCTAAATATCAGTATAAATGATATACATATCATGATAGAGGTTTTATTATTAATAAATGTAGATAACATAATTTATTTATTTGATCTATCTTTATTCATGGCATCTTCCCGGCAAAGAAAATTGGATGGTGATCAAAAAACAATACCAAGTTATCAATTATGATGGAAATCTTGCCTTGATACATCAAGGAAAGAAAAAATAATAATTTAAATATAGCTAAAAGGGATTTATATAATCTGAAACATAAATATATGAAAAATCCATGTAGCATCAATGATCTGGAAGATCTCATCAAAACAATAAAATTAGACATCACAGATATTGTTGAACTATTTGAAGAAAATGACATTTAAAGCATTATATTATCAAACTACAAAAATGAAAAATCATTATTCTAGATATCCGGAGGTTATCCTAATTGATGCTTCCTATAATTTAACTTCTTACCACTTGCCGGTCTTTATTTCGGGTATAATAGATAATGAAAATACCAGAATAGTTGCCATCTGGTTGGGGTTGTCAGAAAGTTCCACGATATTTTTAAAATATATATTAAAAATTTCATAATAAATTTTTACAGAAAGATCATTTTATCAAGATGAATTTTCCAACGTTAAATTGGAAATTTGTATTTTTAATTTTCTACAAATATTTAAAAAACAGATAACAATAATTAAATGTAATTTAACTTTAAAAGAATTTTAAAAAATGTTCCTCCTATTTAAAAGATTAGTTTATGCAGAAACCCCTGGCATATATTGGAAATATTATCATTTTAAAAAAAATTCTAAATATCAAAAGGTATTTTTATACTACGATAAAAAGGCATGGAAATCGTGGGTCGAAATAAAAGCTTGAATTTTGGAAACTTTACAAACAATCGAATTGAAGGGACAAATTGGGCCCTAAAACGAATCATTAAAAAGAATTCTTCCTTATTTATTTTTTACAAAAATTTGAATAAATATTTAAATTGCTCGGAGGATAAGAATAGATATAATCCTTACCAACAGTAGATTAAATGATAAAAGTCTGCCGTCATCATCTCCACAATTTTTATTCTTTAAATTATTAACTTTAAAAGCATTTAAAAGAGTCAACCTAGAAAGAAAATACCCTACATCATGGAAAGATCATTGTTTATTTCTTAAAGCCTTTTTTTTGTTAAAAATAGTCAACTGCATTTTTTTTCTTATTTCTAGTTATTTTTTGAGGCATTTGTAAAGTTTTAAAAAATTCTAAAGAATTAGAACATAAAGGTAAACTATTAATATTTTCCTTGTTTACCAATATATGAAAGCACTTAAAAGAGTCAACCTAGAACTAAAATATTATTTTAATATAACTATGAAGATTTCAATGTTAGTGAAAATTTATTGTGTGGTTTCCAGCAAAGGTATCTTTTACCTTATAAACATATTTTCAGATATAGGGAAGACAACAATATCTGCTTCTATGATGATTACTTATGCGCTTTGAGGTGGTGGGAAGAATATAATTTATACCCATATTTAAATGGAAATAATATAAACAATGATATTTATGAAGAGGAAAGGGATGCAATTTTTGATATGGAAATTTTTTCAAAAAATATTAAAAATGAATGCAAATTAACAGATAAGGGAATATATAAAATGGCGCAAGAGTATTTTCAAAGTAATATTGGCAACATTATTAAGAAGCTACTAAACGATCTGATTATGTTATGCTTTCAGGAATTAAGAAAACATGTGAAAAGGTTTGTAACTTCGAATACCTGAAAAGCAAAAAAAGGATAAATATATTGGAAAACAAGGAAAATATTAATAGTTTACCTTTATGTTCTAATTCTTTAGAATTAATTAAAATTTACAAATGCCTTAAAAAATAAATAGAAAAAAGAGAAAAAATGCAGTTGACTATTTTTAACAAAAGAAAGGCTTTAAGAAATAGACATTGATCTTTCCATAATGCAAGATATTTTATTTCTAGGTTGACTCTTTAAAATACTTTTAAAGTTAATAATTTAAAGAATAAAAATTGTGAAGATGATGACGGCAGACTTTTATCATTTAATCTACTGTTGGTAAGGATTATATATTCTTATCCTCCAAACAATTCAAATATTTATTCAAATTTTTGTAAAAAATAAATAAGGAAGAATTATTTTTAATGATTAGTTTTAGGGCCCAATTTGTCCCTTCAATTGAATTGTTTGTAAAGTTTCCAAAAAAGTAAGAGTACGATACGGGTAATATAAAATTAATGGCAAAATATCGCCCGGTAAATCTTAAAGAGAGGAGACAACAAAAAAACATGTGGCGAGTAAATAACCTGATTATCGGGGTATATTAATATTATTTCAGAGTTCGTGGGATGAAAACACATGGTAAAGCAAGGCATTTCGTTCCTGTCCAATCTCCATATTACCTATTATATTATAATATATCATTTTTAAATTTTGAATTAAAACGAAACAAAATTTAAATGTGATTAATAATCATCCTGGTTGGGTATCAAAAAGTTTATTAAATTAAATTTTATTCAAAAAAAAGTATTCAATTCACTTTTAAATCAATGAGTGAATGTATAACAACGCTTCCGCTAGAGTAAGATACGGCTATCAGAGCTTCAGAAGCGTTCTTCCGAGTTTCGAGGGCGCATATTCCTATATTCCCATTTTCTAAGAAATTATTTTCAAACCATAATTTTCTTTTACAATCTTGGTTATGAGGTTGGAATATTTAAGTAAGAAAGAAAGATTCTCCAAAAAATATATCATTATTCATCCAAAACTATAAAATATTTTTTTACTAAAATTACCATTATTTTCCTCGCCAAAACTCGCGTTAGTACCATCGTGTCTTTTGGCGAAATGCGGAATTGATATTATTCTGTAGTTCGTTAAACTAAGCTTATCATTTTCTGATTCGTCATAAATTCTGATGCTCGCATCGTACATGGCTAATAGTAAGGCGTTGTTGAAGCGATCACCAGCGTTGGAATCATTCTTTTTGGCGAAAGATGGTTTAGAGTCCTTCCGCGAAGAAGAAGGAGAGACAAGAGGTGCAGGTAGCATAACGAATTTGAGCAAGTTGGATTTGATTTTAGAGCCTTTGGGTTGTTTGGGAGAGTTCTGAAGGGGAGCGACAGAGAAGTGAATCTTATGAGGTTCGAGTTGCTCTGCTTTGTTCTATCAGGTACATACGTGTAATTTGAACAAAAATTGTAGAGTACATAGGTTTAATATTATTGTAAAATAATAAAATCAGTTATACAATAAATTTATTATTAGCATATAGTTATAATATTTATATTTATAGCTATGCAACCCAATCTTATAATTAACTGCGGAATTACTTATATAAGATTTGGAATCCAATTTTTAATATCATGATTCATAAGGCTAATGTTGCAGTGGTCCGGTCTGGCCCAGCATCTGTGGGACCGGCGGGCCGGTCCAGTCTTACAATATGAATGGTGGTCCAGTCCGACGATTAAAAAAATAAAAGCTATAATAAATTACTCTTCAATTAATTTTACATGAACATGTAAAACATGATTATTTAATGCCTAACACTTATAACTCATTCATTATTTGCTCTTTCTATTCTTTTTCATAAAGAAACAATATATATAAATATTTATTTATTTTATTAATCAATATATTTATCTAAGGAAATATCCTTGAGGGAGAGAAGTAGGGATAGGACATGGTTACTGGGATATCAGAGGAATCTAAGAAAGATGATATAAATGATACAAAGATATTTGGCCAATATTTTATATCCAATTAATTCCAACATATTGGTGGTAAGGGAATCAAAATCGATTTCCAATTCTGGCCAAAATATCAACGGACTATCTCCTACAACAGGCTACATCAGTAGCACGTGAACGGATTTTTTCTGAAACTAGTGATAAAATATCAAAAAAATGGAATAGCCAAAGATGGCTCAATTTTAATTGAAATCTGAATCATGGATAAAAAATGGAATTCATTTGATTTTTTAATAAGATTACTAGAATATTTATATATAAATTTAAATTTTATTTTATAACCAAATTTCTATCACTTATATAGTATATATTAAAAACTCATTAAATATGAAAATTGATTTATATTATATTTAATAAATTTGGTATTAAAAATTATTTGATGATTTTTTTTTTTCTCTTTTAGCTTTCACCTTTTCTGGTGGTAAGCTCCTTCAACATCTCTCTCCACTTTATGTTATTCATACAATCTCTTTTATCTATTTTATACTTCTTTATATTGGCTCTAACTTTATGGCCCCATTGAAGTTTTGGCCTTCCTCTTTTACGTTTGCCCATCACTTCCAAACTTTCAACTTTATTTCCTATGTAGTTCATAGGCCTTCTCATTGTGTGCCCATACCACCTAAGTCTGTTTACCATTAACTTAGTCTTAATGGGCACTACCTTTAAACTATTTAGTATTCTTGTACTGCGCACCTTATCTTTTCTTGTTACCCCAGCAATCATCCTCAGCATTCTCATCTCCATAGTTTGTAGACTTCTCTCGTCTGATTCTTTGGTTGGCCATGTTTCCGAACTATATAGAATAGTTGGTTGTACTATGGAACTGTAAATTTTTCCCTTTAATTTGTGTGGGATTCTTTTGTCAAATAGCACTCCAGATAAAGATCTCCACTTTAACCACCCTTGATTAATCTTATTCTTTATCTCTTTTTCTATTGTGCCGTTTGTTTGTATAGTGGAGCCCAAATATTTGCAGCTTTCAATTGCAGATATCTGCCAATCATTTATATCAATACTCTCCGTTTCATCTCCTCCTATCACCATATACTCCGTCTTTTCTCTATTTACTTTTAATCCGTGCGTTTCTAGGATATTTATCCAATTCACTAACCTTTCTTTCATTTCATCCTTGGATTCGGCAAGTATCACAATATCATCTGCAAATATCATATTCCACGGGACTGTTTGAGGTATAGACTGTGCTAATACATCTATTACTGTAATGAAGAGAAGTGGGCTGAGAGCCGACCCTTGATGAACTCCTTCGGCTATTGTGAAGCCTGCTGAAGTACCTGTTGTGCTACGGACCATTGTTGTATGTCCCATATACATATCCTCTATTATTCTTATATATTTTTCGGGAACTTTTTTGTGGCGTAGCGCCCACCAGATAAGTTTTCTTGGGATTCTATCGAAGGCCTTTTCTAGATCGAGAAAGACCATGTGTAGCTTTTTGTTCTTTTCCCTGTATTTTTCACTCATTTGCCTAATTGCATGGATAGCATCGGTTGTTGATCTTCCAGGCATAAAGCCAAACTGTGTCTCTCCTATTTCGATTATATCTCTTAATCTTTTTTATATTATTTTTTCGTATAGTTTTAGACAGTGTGACATTAGTTTTATGCCCCTGTAATTTTGACAATTGTGTGGATCCCCTTTATTTTTGAAGATAGGAACTAGATAGCTCTGCCTCCATTTTTGGGGGACCTCTTCATTTCCAAGTATTTTATTGTACAGATTTGTGAGGAGATGTATTCCATCATCTCCTAGTGCTTTAAGGCTTTCTATTGGAATATCGTCTGGACCCCTAGCTTTGTTGTTTTTCATATGCTTGAGGCATGTGATTATTTCTTGTTCTGTTATAGGTTGTACAAGGTTTTGACAAGGGGAGTGTTCGTCGAGATGCAATATGTGGGAATTAAAGTTGAGAAGCTCCTGAAAATATTCTTTCCATCTATTCATTATTTCTTTTTCCTTTATTATCAATTTTCCATCTTTATTTTTGATTACTTTAGGAGCTCCGTTTATATCCCTAGAGTTCTTTTCTCGCTGTTTGGCTAATCTGTATATTTTATTTTGCCCTTCTTTGGTATGTAGATCTTCGTACATGTCATCGTATGCCATAGATTCGGCCCTAGCCACCGCCTTTGTAGCTAATCTCTTGGATTTTTTGTATCTTGACTTGTCATCTGCATTTTTGGATTTGTACCATATTTTATAAAGGGCTTTTTTCTCCTGTATAGTGATTTGTACCTCTTGATTCCACCACCATAGTTCTTTGTGTGATTTGTTGCCTCCTCTTGTCAAGCCTAGCGTCAATTTTGCAGTGTCTATTAATCTGAATGAAAGGTCTGTCCAGATTTTTTCACTGACTTGTGAGCAATTTATTGTTTCAATGTTTGCATTGATTGCAAAGGCATCTGTCATTGTTTTTAATTTGCCCCATTTGATGCATGGTTCCAGTTTTATCTTATTTTGAGTGGATTTATTTGAGATTTGTAAATCCATGATTAGTAGCTTGTGTTGCGCGGCGATATCTTCTCCTGGGATGACTTTGCAGTCTATTACATCTTTTAATCTTCTGCGAGAGATTAGCATGTAATCTATCTGTGTTTTCCTAGTACCACTTTCATATGTTATTAAATGACTGTCTTTTTTCCTATAGTAGGTGTTGGTTAAGGCAAGGTCGAAGGCTTGCACAAATTTCAGTACGTGCTCTCCTTCATCATTTCTTTTTCCATATCCAAAACCACCATGATGCCTTTTGTAGCAGCTATCTCTTGCTTTCCCCACATGTGCATTAAAGTCACCACCAATTATGACTAGGTCATCCTTAGGGATTTCCATTACAGCTTCATCAAGGATAGCTCTAAAGTCATCTTTCTCTTCTTCCTTGCAACCCGTTTGAGGAGCATATACTGATAGGATGTGTAGTATTGATTGACCAATGCAGAGTTTTATCTTCATTAGTCTATCACAGATCCTGTTGACTTCTACTACTGAAGAGGTTAGGTCTTGGCTGAGGATGATGCCGACACCGTTCCTATTGCTAACAAGTCCATTATAGTACAATTTATACCCATCTCCAATCATCAAAGTTTTCTGTCCTTTCCATTTCGTCTCTTGTATGCATGCTATATCAACTTTTCTCTTGTTCAACATTGATGCCAATTCTCTCGTCTTACCTTTAAGCGTCCCAATATTCAAACTTGCCAGTCTTGTCTTCTTTGCTTTGACCTTTACTTTATTTTTCACAGGATGGAGGTCTACACCCTGCGCGTCGCATGGAGGGAACGCCTTAGCTTTCATATTCATATTTTCATTTGTGTCCTTCATTTTGTTTATTGGACAGGTATTAGCACCCGGCTGTCCAGGCCTGTCGGTGACCGGGGTGTCATCTCTAAGCTCTGAAATTCATCATACCATATGTCTTTACACATCAGTCATCGAAGAAAAACTTGAAAGTTTTTATGGTTCTTACCAGGATTGAACCCGCGTCCTTGTTCATACTCGTGTTTCCAAGCCTACATCTTACAACTAGACCGACTGTCTGCTCATCCGACCTAACGATCCAGCAGTTCAGTCCCATTTGAGAAAAAAAGACCAGACTGAACGAGACCGCTGCAAACACTACATAAGACATATGTAAAAGAAATATGATGGATAATGAAGATATAATAATAGGGGGAAAAATGAATTTTCATTGATAACCCTAATAAATAGAGAGATTAACCTCATTTAACATTATATACTTTGTCCATAAAAGGAGTCAGTATGACTAATGCCTTTTTCGACTCTATGATTATAAAAATAAAATTATCAGAAAATCATCATAATATCGATTCGGAATGCAACTGATAGGAACATATTAAAACAAAAATTCATGCAAAATAACCACTCCTTTCGTGTGATCATGTGATTGCACTAAGGTAGCTTTGTTAGGGTGGGAGAAAGAGTATTACTTTGAACAATTGATAAACGTGTGTTTTAACGGTGTCGTTATAGGCCAAGTATTCGCCATTGAAAGAAATATCCGAACTGATTATTTCTAGAGGGATTTTCAACGCCGGATTCGTTCTAAGTTCCAAAAGTTTTGTAGATTTTTTGATGATTGATTGTTCGAAACTAGATGACAGTTCTTCATCTTTTATAATAAATTATTAATATATTGGACTAGTTATTTTTTTTATAGGGTTGCACTTAAGTGTTATATTAGGCATTAAAATTATACATACATTATTGAATTTGTTTTGTAAATAGATAAATGTTTCTAATATATTCCTATTATAAAACTACTCTAAAAACAAGAACATATTTGAAGTCTTATAGTGCTCAACCCACCCGAGTTCCTTTTTGATTTTGAATTTGAAAATCATTTTTTTGTATTTGAATATAGGAATATTTAAATTTTAATTAAAAAAAAATACTACCAATATTTTTGAAATCAATTTTTTTTTGTTTTTCACCTGTTGAAACTTATCTTTCGAAAAATGTATATATTTTACCACATTTCCTTTTGCCGTTCAGTAACTCTGATTCGTCTTCACTTCCTGCATTTTTTACGAAATTCTCTATGCCATCGTCAGAGTCAACCATCTTGATAAGGCTCAGTTCCCAAATTTCCAAATGATTGAGGAATTGAAGTAAAAGATATTTGCCGCAATTAGTTAGTTTGCAATCACGGACAGATGGTACGTGAGGCACCTCGATAATCGTTTTAGGAGGAAATCGGCTCAAAACTAACTTTGTATCTAGACCTTCATTTAATATTATTTTAAAATATCCAACCTAATCAAATTGTACAAAACTTTTTGGCAGCATCAATGAATTTTATTCTAGTGCAAAAGTTTTGATTTTGTTCGTTTAAAATAGATTATAAATAATAAAATAAAAACAAAATATATTACATCTAAGGCAAATTTGTTTTATTTACGAAATTCTTATAAATTTTTTATTTATTAAATATTAAATCTTCAATCATTTTTATATTTACAATCAATTTAAGGTTACCTTAAAATATATTTTAAATAATTAAAGTTTAATATAAAAATTTGATTAAGGTATAATACTTTAAAAATGAAGGGAGGGGAGGTAGGTGAATGCTCAAGGCACCACTCGTATTTATTTCATTCCACCTTATAAATCAATACCAGTAAATATCCTCTCCATTTTTTTTATTAGGAAATTATAAATTAACAATATTTATAAACTCAACCACTTTTTTTGATCGAATTATTTATAAACCCTTTTACATTTTATTAGACAGAAATAGAATAAAACCATCTCATAATAATAAAGTATTATAGATTTTAGATAAAATCACAAGTAGGGAAAGGGGGGGGGGGGTATGCTTGACTATTGTAAAAAATATTTATAATATATAAATAAATATTTAAAAATATAATTGGCATACCACCGGATATGAGCCAATTGCTCATATGGACGAGACATTTGACATCGTTAGAATGGAGGAGTCTTTGATTGGATTTAAACCATTCACCATTTTCGGCTTTCTCGAATTGTAAAATGAGAGGGTCCACGCCAGAGGCGTAAAAACATTTGGAATTTTTCTGATTTTATGTAAATATAATAATTTATAAGAAATCGTCTGGTAATTATTATAGTACTGTTCCATATATCCATTCCTTCTTAGATTCGGAGGGGGGGGGGGATTTAATATTTTAATTTAAAAACACAAAGGTAATTAAAAAGATAGAATTGGTTTTTAAAAAATATAAGTTATAATTAGTTTATGTTTTGTTCAAAAATAAATTTAATAAACTTCTAAAATTTATCTTATTTGATGTAAAATATATAGTAGATTTCAAATAAAAATAATGTTATGATAAAAATAGTATAAAAATATATATAGGTTTATAAAATGGAGAGAAAATAAAATGATATTTTCCATTTTTTGGAAAATTTTTAAGTCTAGCTTTAAGAGATCATATTATTTTTATTAATCAAGCAGTTAATACTTGTGGTTATAACCCCTCCAGTTAACCATATTTCTAAAAGAATGAATATACCAGGAATAACAAGATTAATAATAAACAAGGCAATATTGAAGAAACTCTATTAACTGAGGCTTCAAAAAATTTTTAACACCCCCCCCCCCCCCCATTTATTTAGCTTTTATGTTATATTTATCAATTATGTTATGTTATTTTATACTATTTTGTTAATTAAAATAGACTAGTGTTGTAAACGAACGAGTTCATTTTGAATGCGTTCGTGAACGAAGAAAAAAAATGATGAACGGCGTTCCTTTTTTTGACGAACTTTGAAAGTGAACGCATTCCTTTTTTATTACGAACGCGTTCGAATTTAACGTTCGTTCAATTTTAAAATCAGTTTTTATTTTTATTTATTTAAAAAATTTAATATTAATCCGAATTTTTTAAGAAATTAAAATCAGTTTTTATTTTTATTTATTTGAAAAATTTAATATTAATCCGAATTTATTAAGAAAAAAGCCTTATATTTTTTAATTAGATATTTTCAATTTTTTTAACACGCTATTATTATAGTTTATTAATTTAAATTGTTTATATTTTAATTTAATAGATTCGTATAATAATGGATATTATTATATTAATATTACCATGGCTCAAATATGATAAATATTTTACAGTAACATCCTATATTGAAGGAAATAATTCAATACTTATCATATTTAAAATGTGCTCAAAAAGTATTATATCAGTTTCAAAAATCTTCAGGTCCAATTTAAAACGATATTTAAAAATTAGATTGCAAATCTTATATTGCTGATAAGTTTCAGATTTGATTGTAATAAAATTAAAGGAAAAATGCATTTGTGCTATTTGACTCAAACAATAACGATAATTATTTTAAAATTAAAAAAATTAGTGGCCTAAAATATGGCCAACAATTGATAGAAGCATTATTAAATGGGATTAATAAAAGGTATTAAACCTATCACTATCAAATTAATATATATTTTATTTTTTTAAAGATTTGAACATATATAAAGATCAATGTGTTCTTTTCTGCATTTATACATCCAGTATTCAAGCTTCAATGGCCATGGATAAAACTTTCATAGAACAAATCTATAAAAAATAAACTTAAAGTGTTATTGAAAAAATGCATTGAAAACTCTAGGAATGATAATGCATGAACTGTTAATTTCGAGATATCCTTTTTTATGACGAGGATGGAGGATGGATTGGAGGATAACTTATCTCAATTTTTTGAAGCAAAGGACAAAAAAATAAATGTTTTTAATAAATTCCCCACGTTAAAATAATTGTTTATTAAGTTTAATACCGCAATCCTCTCATCTGCCCCTGTAGAGCGCGTTTTTAGTATAGCTAGTGACATATTAACTACCAAGAGTTCCTGTCTATCAGATAAAAATTTTGAAAAACAATTGTTATTAAAAATTAATAAGAAAATTTTTTTATAAATAAAAATATCTTTTTATTCGCTATATTATATTGCATTTATAATTATATTATCAAAATAAAATTATTCTTTTTTAACATTGCTAATATATTGTGTTAAATATAAGACATTTATTTATATTAAATTAAATTTAAAAAAAAATTTATCATAAAATTTTGAAAATGAACAAGAACGCGTTCAATTTTTGCCAATGAACGTTAAACACGTTCAATTTTTTTAGAAATGTTAACAACACTAAAATAAGCTGATTTAATTTTATACAATGAAATGAATTACATAAATTATATGAATGTATGGGGTATATTAGGCCAAAAAATGGATCTCTTGTTGATGTTTATATTAGCAAAGAAAAGATTAGTGTAAAATTAATAATGTCAAATAATACAACCCTAAACCAAATGAAGGTGTAGGAGATAATTATTTTAGCTTTAAAAAAATTAGAACTGTCAATTCCATAAGATATTATAATTTGTACAAAACTATTAGTTAATATCTAAATATATACTAAAATAACTAATTGTAATATTTAAGATTAGATAATAAAAAATAAGTAAACTTGTTCAATGCACATAGTCAAAACTGATGCTTCATGGATTCTAATACCTTTCACCAGGTCACATGTTTGAGTGTTCCAAAATCTGATATGTCCATAACTATCACCTGTTACTAAGGTATGATTATCATCCACAAACAACATGCAATTAATGAAAAGAGAGGTTTGATTTATAATATTATCTTTAGAATGTATATGATAATGCTCTTCTCTTGCTAAAAACTCCAAATCAATAACTTTATAGTGCTTTGTAAAATCTTGTTTTTTGGAATTTTTAGTAGTATCTACATAATTATCTATATAATTAGAGTCATATAAAAAATTTATATCCCATATAAATATTTTGCCAAAATTTCTGATAAATTGTTCTTTCTTCTTTTTAAATTTTTTATTATTGTCTTCTATAGGTATAATATCTTCAGCATCAACAATTTTTGATATAGAAGGCGAATATAAAGTTGAAAAGGCCAAAAGATTTTTATCATAATTATCATATGACCAAGATACACAATTTATTCTGTCATGTTTGTAAAAGGATTGTTTATTAGAAGAAATTGGTAAAAGTTTTTCTATATATTTAATAGGATAATTATCAAGTGATATGTCATATATCAGTACACCACCATCTTCAGTTGCTGCCTTAACATTAATATTAGATATATTTTTTAAAAAGAATATACTGATAAATATTTTAGTGATTGATCTAATTTTAAAGACCAAATGCTTCCAGAATTTCCACTAACAATTGCCTTAATAAAATTTATTAATATATAAAACAAATTATATAATGGTACTTTAGGTTCAATGTTATAGATATCATATTCTAATATTTGTCCAGTTATTCCACTTGCAAATAATCTCTCATGACACCAACAAATACAATCAGCAATGAAATTAGGTGGATTGTATACTTTCTAAAACAATAAATTTATTTACCATGAATAACTAAATAACTTTAATTAAGTAAAAAGATTGTTTCTTTATTTTCCAAATCTCTATTGGTCCCTCATTTCTAAATAAATAGATTTCAACATATTTAATTTCTAAAATACCTTAATATAGCTAATAAATTGCTATTATTTGTAGCAAGAGCTAATATGGGGATTGGTTTATGGTCAAAATAATTAACTTTTTGAATATCAAATTTTGTAAACTTTTCCTGAAATTTCATTTAATTACTTATGTAGTATGACTTAAAATCCCATTGTTAAGTGCTAAATCATGACTGGATAAAAAAATATATGATAATTTATATATTTTTAGTTATGATTTAAATATGCAACACTAGACAATGTCCAAAACATTATAATTACAGTCAGATATTAATAAAGAAAAGTTAACAAGTATGTGAATTCTACACAAAAAAACTACATATTTAAACATCATTGAATCCCTTTATCATATGGAGTAATTAAAATATTGAATTACATTTTATTAGTTAATAATTTATAATTAAATTAATGTCTATAAAGGTTATAATTTTTAAAATAGAACATTCTATTCTATTCATTTTACACTTCAACATCTTATGATATAAAAAATATTTTATATATTTATCCCAACTCTTTAAATGAAATCACATATTTTTGTATAAATATATGTTAGGAGGAATTATGATGGGGGAAAATGTTATTAATCGGGTTGAAATCTTACTGGGAAATGGTAAAATAATCGAAAAATTAATTTTATACCTTCACATAAATATTTATAGAACCGGGGATTATATGAGCCTGCGTTATCTAGAAGCTCTGTAATTTTTTTTATACTAAATTCTAGTGGTGAATATTTTTATCAAAAAATATAAACTTTTATTAGCTTATCTGCCTAAAATAATTGTATAAACACGGATATATTCTTTATTACACTATTTAAACCTCGTTTTAGTTAATTTTCAAGATCAAGAGGACCGTTTACTCTAAAAATAAATTAAATTTATTAGTTTGCATAAATAAATATTCAAATATTAGAAATGATGAAAAAAATACGATGTACATATGAAAACAAAATTTTAAAGAAAAATATAATATCCTTAATAAGGAATAATACATTATTTAAAAATTTCTAATAGAACTTGGGTCGGCCATCATTTTTTTTTATTATAGGCACCAATCTCTATTACAGTGATTGTACATTATTTATGCTTTCTTCGGAAATCAAAAGTAAGACTTAATTTTTTTAAAATTAGTCTAAAAAGTCCTAGCCTATTTTAATAAATTAGTCTTTAATATGTCACACATAATATTCTAATATATTTAGAACATGAACCTTGTTTTCAAAATATGGATTTGATATTTGATCTTGTTTTGCCAGAATATTTCACTTTAGAATTCACAAATAAAATAGCATTCCAATTTATCATTTCATGGTTAAGTTTATTATTACTGTATACTATTTTTACAGAATTTTCGATTTATTATCTGATTTTGTTAGGTGATAAAATATTTGCTATAACCCATCACAATAAGAACTAATTTATCTCATTGATGAGAAAAAAATGGATGATCTTGAATTATATTTCATCTCAATTTTTAAGATATTTTATAGAATATTAAATTCTTGTACTTTTTAATAAAATAAAAAATAATTTTTCAATTTAATAATGTTTAATATTCAATTGAATATCAAACAATATATTTAAGTTTTAAGGTTATACACTCCCAAAAAGAAATATCAAATCAAAATTAGGCAAAGGATTATCATTTCTCTATAAACGAGAATGACTTCTTATAACATGTTTGACACTTTGCTAATCCTTGAACGGGGAAAAATCTTAGTACTCTTCTATTTAATCAAAAAAAACCCAATATATTACATAATTAGTGAGAAAATTAAAAGGAACAGATATATTTATATGATACTTTTTCTTAATAATTTGGAAATTAAATTTTAAAATGGGAAAATATTAAAGCATTCAAATTTCGTAATTTTTTTCTTTTTTAAAATTTAAATCATGAAGGTTCTCATGAAATCTATACAAGAAATAAAAACTTATATTTTTTTACTATTTATAAAAACATCACAAAATAATATTTTCTACAATATTAACAGTTATATATAAAAGGTTTAAATTATCATAATTCTTTCTATTATGAAGTAAGTTATTGTTTTTTTCAATTCATAGTTCCAGCCAATTCCACTAATTTAGCATTGACGTCCCCTGGAAGTCGGTAAGGTAACATGCCCGAAAAAGTTATCAAGGTGCTTGCTTTCGCTTTTAAATCTTGCATCATCTATTTTTTTAAACGAATAAAATTTTAGATTATATTAAAATAAATCAATTTTATAATTCGTTAACTCAATAAAATATTTTAAAAAAAAATTGTTGGAAGCAAGTAAATTATTTAAACACTATGAAACCGAACTTTAAGTAAATAGATGGAAGAGGAAATGTTGGATATAAGGACTTGAAACGCGCCCCATTTTCCATGTTCATGTTTTGAAAAATAGTCACGTGCATCTCATTTTTTAAAGTGCAGTCGTCTACCAAAAATTAAAAGAATAGAATCTTCCTAAATTATGTACGGGTTTCATTCCTGTAATATGTGGACCATTCATAAGTCCAAGTCCCCCTGATTGGGAACATTACGGAAAAAGATATGTAAAACGCGATGTAATCTGAGGCGATTTATCGAATCCCAAATATAAGCAACTCAGTTTTGATATTAAAAATACACATGAAACAATAATCAAGGAAAATATACATTTTTTTTAAATATAGAGAACCTTAAACTTAGCTCCAGCGTTAGGGTCTGAACTAAAGCTAGCACCGCTAAAATTCAAATTATCCCTAGTGGATTCCGAGAACGACGATGAAAGCGTATCCTTGTTCTCTCTTTTTAAATTCTTTAAACGTTTGTTGTACATCGTCATGACTGCTACAAGAATGTCGGGAAACATCAACCTCACCTATAAGTTTATAAAGTTTTTATAAATAAAACTACCTTTTAATTTAATTTTCCCTGATTGCTGGATTATTTTATTCAGTCATTCTTTCCTTTTGAAAAAAGCATAGTCTGATCTAAAGTTCAGATTTCCCAAAACCTATAAGTTCAAGCACTTTCATTCACGCATCGGCTACATTACTCTCATTTTTTCCATTAAACTTATCCGATATCTAAATATTTATTCTAGATGTATCAATTAATATGATCCAAGAAAAGGGTTTCATAAAATAATTTTTAAACAGTTCTAAGGTTTACCAAAAGAAATTTGGAGAAACTTCGAGCTACCATTCAAAAATTGATGATATTTCTTTTGTATATAAGGATAATTCACGAATGTGTTTTTAAAATAAAAACCGATATAAAAAAAGTGCACGTCTGACGTGAATTTTCACTAGCCAAATAATTAAATGAAATTTATACTTGTCATTATCAATAGAAATATAAATATGCCCATATTTTGTAAGAAAATATATTGTCACTCATAAATGACAATATTGTTAAATTTATTTTGTAAAAATATTTTAAACAGGTTACACCGACACCAAAAAATAAAATATACTAGTATGTATAGTGTTTATTGAGAGACTAATATTTTAGATTTTTTTCCTTTTATTTAAAAAATAACGCTCACCTGCAAATCAAATTCTGCATTATTGTATTTTCTTTCTCACATTTAAAATCTTATAAAATGGGAAGGATTAAGGATGGGATCCATCGTAACGAATATCGGTTCGATTAAGATTACAACGGATGATTTAGGTTCGGTTCGCAAAAAATAACGAAATCGGTTCAGTTTGAACTTTTAAAAACCGGTTAAAACGCATATAAGCGTAAAAGAATTTTGCAAAAAAAGAATATTTTTTGAAATATAGTATTGAGCCGTGTAAATAATTTTAATATTTTTAAGATTCTCTTCTGTAAAATTATATCTAGAAGGAAGAATAAATTTTAGGGGTGAGACACACAAATATATATATAATATATATGCTAACTTGGGTACCAGCGCCATCAAATAACAATTATATCTAAAATTAATTACGATACTTATTATCGGTCAAAACTGATTATTAATCATCTTTAAAAGATTTAAATATGAGGTTCAAACCAGCTCATATCAATTTTTAGAGGTTCGGGTGACAAATTTTTTAAGTGTTCACGGTAAATAATAACGGTTAATACCAGTTTGGTTTGAACCCATAGATCAAGGGAAGGGGAAAAAGATATTTTTTTATAAAATAATGTATCGAGTTTAAACCGATACTGTAAGGGTAACAAACCGGCATTTTTAAGGGGCTCCTGTCCCATAGCCCTTTCAACTTAACTCGGGTTAGAAGACCGTGATTGTCAAAAACGTAATCCGGCTTTTATAAAAGAGTATATCAGAGATCTGCAGAGAAGGCCAGGCCAGAATTTAAAAATTACTCCTATTTTCCAGTCCTGGTGGGGGATTTTTTTTTTTTTAAATTTCTGGTTAATTTGATATAATTGAAAGGAAAAAAATGAATGAAAAACATAATAAAGTGTAAATAATAAATCTTAAAAAATTCCGATATATTTTTTTTACTTCGTCTTTGAGTAGTCCAAAATTGTCTAAACAATTTTTAAGATCGTCTTTATTGCCAGGTATCAACCTCAAATTTTCGATTATCTGAAGATATTATTATATATAAGATTATCGGAAAAGAAGTAAGAAAGATTAAAGGCTCATTTCGATTATGGTAATTAAAAAATGCATCTTTCGTTTATAAAAGCTTCCTTAAAAAATAAATAAAGATATATTCTAAAAGGTTGTTACAATAAATTATCTTTCTCTAACTAAAAAAAATATAATAAAATTGGTCAATTTATAAAGATTTATTAATTTTCAGTAATTGTATGGAAATATAAAATATATAAATTTTTTTGATGATAATAAATTGTGTTGTAACTAGTATAACATTTTTAAAATAATCATTATTAAACCAAATATTTAAAAAAATGCAATCGGTATTATGACCATGACCAATTCTCTCTCACACACATTTACAACTTATTCAAAAAAAAAATTTTTTTTTCATGATCAAAAAATAAAATAAAAATTTTATTTTTAAAGAATTTTTTACCAAAATAATATTTGCACAAAAAATTTTAAGATCAAAATTTCAAAAATGTTTTAATAAAGATTTCCTTACAAAAGATTTTATTTTATTATAAAATTCTCAAAATATTTTCTCAAAATTATAGAAGATTTTTTTACAAAAAATATTTTTTATTTTGCTCAAAAATCTTCTTTGAGCAAGCTCAAAATTTTTTTTAGCGAAAAAATCTTCGCATTTTTTGATCTTCAAAAGAGCAACGATCTGTGAAGATTTTTGAATTTTGAGCAAATGTTAATTATAATTGTGTCATGTTAAATAAAGTTAATTGTTTGTTTGAAATTAAATGTTTATATTAATTTTTATTTATTTTCATAAAAAAATATTAGATTATATATATATTAGCGGCGATGAGCTTTTTTCCGGCAATGTTTAATTTTTTCAACTATAAATCATTTTTTCAGCGTTTTTTTTAAAATTTGAATATCTGATTTCCGGAAATGTATTTCATCATGTTTAAATCCTGTGAATTTAAGAATATTTTATCAACTTATAATAATTTATATTCGTTTTTCCATATATTTTTTATATAAATTATAAATGACTCAAAAGTTAGAGGCAAAATTTTCTGAAATTCATAAGATAGGTATTGTAAACATGTCGGAATACATTTCCAATGAAATCGGATTTTTGTAATTTAAAAAAACGCGTTCAAAAAAAATGATTTAAAGTTGAAAGAATAATACATTGACGCTAACATATATAGTAGATAATTGTAGGAATAGAATCAACCCATCATATGATTCAGTAAGATCCCTTTTGAAAAATTTCCAGCATTCTACTACGTTTCCGTGCAGGTTACGTTCAGAAAGTTAGCTCTTTTCCGATTTAATGTTTGATCAAAAAGTATTTGATCTTCCGGCGTTTGTAGTATGCTGAGTTTGCGTGTAAAGTTTGTTTTCAAAGGATTTGTACTAGATCCCATCGAAATTTGTCTGCTACTGTTATGATAGCCCCATATATTTTCGGTAATATTAGCTCTGAGCATTTTATGATTCGACAGGTTTATATTAGTAGATGCCTTGACGTCATCAAACCACCGGTGAATATTGGATATGAAGAAATCGATTTGAGATTTCTGCCGAGCTCTCATAAAGGTGTAGCTGTTTATTTCGCGGTGGCAGAAGAAGATGTTTTCAATTTTGAAGTTGCAGAAATCGAGAAATTTCTTGCTATCCTAACTATTAGGTTGTTGTATATTAGCGTACCCAATGACGTTGCTGCTGACATATTCTGCTTCGTGTATTGTTACCATTTGTATGTATAAAGCCATGTTATGGCATCATGTACTAGATTGTGGTCGGAGTTTTTTTATTATGTGAGCTAGGAACTGTATTCGGCGTTTTTTTAAAGTTATATGTATTGGAGTATGATTTGACTTTATCCAGAGATTTGAGCTTGAGATGATTAGTGGGTAGAAGATACCATATTGTGCGAAGGCAATTGTTAATGATTGATTGAAGATGTCTATTTTCTGTTTTGGTAATTTCCCATATGTCCCCTCCATAGAGTAATATGAGAGCTATCGTCGAGTTAAAAGATTTATGGCCAAACGATATGATACATTTTGCAAACAGAATAATATCATACGAAGATGACATCGTGGTAATCTCCAAAAGTATTGACGAAACCAAAAACTTACTCTATCTATTAGAGATTTTGAGTCATAGAGTAGGACTAAAGATAAATTTCAACAAAACAGTTATTCTCCCCTCCCCAAACGCACCACCGCTCGAAAATTTTATGGTTGGAGGAAATGCAATTAAAATAGTAGACAAAACTTAGGTGTCACATTAGATAACAAAGGCAGTTACAAAGAAGAAATGAAGATTAGAATACAAAAGGCGAGGGGTGCTTTTTGTATGTATATGAAAATATGGAAAACAAGAGATCTCGGTATTTACAAAACTCCACAATAATTCCTATATTACTCTATGGAGGGGGCATATGGGAAACCAACAAGACAGAAAATAGACGACTCCAATCCTTTATAGAAAATTGCCTCCGGACAATAAATGGTATCTTCTACCCAAGAATCATCTCAAACCCAAATCTTTGGGAAAATCATACTCCAATAAACAATAACGTTAAAAAAACGCCGAATTCAGTTCCTAGTCCACAAATAAACTCTGATCACAATCTAGTACACGATGCCATAACATGACTTTACATATACAAATGGAAACATATACGAAATAGAAATCACTATGGTACTACAAAACTATAAAGGATGTGATGGAACTAAATATCAATATGAAACAATTTATAAAACTTAACAACTGCAAGAATTCTATCAAAGAACTAGTTCGATCAAACAAAATATTTCAAATGAAAGCCCACAACTCAAAATTTTCGCTCAATCAAAATAGTTACTATCATATACAACTCTAGTAGATTTTGCTTACTAAAACAAATTACTATATAGATTTTGAATTCAAAAATGCGGTATATTTTAATTCTTGATTTTCACTGTATTAATTTCTTAATTTTTCATGGTAATCAATAAATTCTTCAATATATAGGAAATCAAATACAGGAATTTTTTAAAAATCGATTGTAATAAACTGGCACTTACTTAAAGATACATTAAGCTTAAAATTATCCACCCCCCCCCCCCCCCCCACCCTTAAAAAATAAAATTATAGTGTAGTTTTAAGGTAGAGCCACTTTTTTTGTCCTGCTCCTTTTTTATTAAGCCTATAGACGTTTAAACAACATTTTTTGAAATGTTGTTCGTACAAGTACGTGCGGCTTGCCCACAAACGTGTAGAGGCTCCTCATATCTTTTACTTTTTACCCAAATTAAATTAGTTCCAATTAGATGGAAATGAGGAAAACCTAGCGTAGCTCTGTTGTACTTTCAACGCTAGAGGGCAAAAGCGTTATATATCATATATCACGTAAATATTTCAACCTTCAATTCCAACCCTAACCCAGATTAACTTTTATTCTTTTCAAGTGCAGTTAAATATTATGGTTATGTTATGATCATTCCTGGCTTTTTGGAGCATTATTCAACGATTTTAAAATAAAGATGATTTTTAACTAAATCTTTTTTTTAGTTAACTAGGAAATATATATCTATTTTAAAAAATCATTCAATTGCGGAAATATCTGAATTTTTTTTTGCAAATTTAATTTAAATATTTACGTTGATGGCATCATCATAATTATTCTGCAAGAATGCTCGGAAAAACTTGCACAGGTCCAATAGAAGGAAAAAATTTGTGCTTTCAACAGGATACATTTCGACTACATTAGATCTTTGCTGAGCGCCAACCGTGGTATCGTTGGCAGATGCAGTGTAACTATCAAAAATAAATTTAAAAAAAGGGAGAATTAATTAAAAAATTTACTGATTTCGCAAAAGGTCAAATTATATTAAACAATAACAACTCACACCATTTTCAGATATTTAACAAAATATAAATATACATTTTAATTATTATAAATATGTTAGCGGCAATGTGTTATTTTTTCAACTTCAAATCATTTTTTGATCTCGTTTTTTTTTTAAATTTATAGATCTGATTTTATAGGACATGTATTCCATCATGTTTGTAACCCACCCTATGAATTGTAGATAATATTTCCGTTGACTTTTGAGTCATTTATAATTTATATGAATTATTCATGGAAAAATGGAAAAACTAATATAAATTATATTAAGATCAAAAAGTTCTTGACAAAATTATCTGGGGTGGGTATTCTAAACATGATGGAATATATTTCCTGTAAAATCAGATTTATAAATTTTAAAAAAATAAGCTCAAAAAATGATTTGAAGTTGAAAAATAATACATTGTCGGTGCCGCTAACATATATAACAGAGGAAATATATTTCGCAATTTTCTATCTTTTTTCTTTCTAATCTGATGAAAAGAACCCTACATAAAAACGGATCCGATATATTAAATACACAGTATGATTTATTGGAAACAATGCGAATACAGAAGGGCTGGAAAACCAAAATAAAAGTGAATTTCAAAATTAAAAAATGTATTTCAACTAAACTTCAATTTTTTTAATATTCAAAAAAAGTAAGTCAAATTTTTTTTGTAAAAAACCAAAAATTATAACTGCCTTATGTGTTTTTTAATTTTTCAATCCCTATTTATAATGAATATTTTTTTTAAAAAAATAACATTTGAGCAATGTTTTCGGCCAAAGCTACGAGTCCGTGAGAAGTAGCTGCATCGCTCATTAATTGATTGGGATTCGCTATCAAACCGTACAATAATTTTCTCATCAGTTCAAAAAGCTTTACGTAATTCTACAAATAATCATTTTTTTTTATTTTGAAAAAAAAATAAATAATAATATAAAATAATGAAAGAAAGCGAAACAATTTTTTGTTCTTATAAAAAGAGATATATTGTTACATATTAAATCAACGATATTCTATATCCATTTACAATTTTTTTTGGGAAATAAACACATTTTCGTTCAATTAAATTTTGTGTCATAAAAGAGCTAATTGATTCATTGCGTTCGCTTAATTATTCCCTGGGACATTTTAAAGTAAATGTGATAACATCTTGTCAAATACCAAATCTTACAGGGATTAGGTGAATTTCACCGATAAATAAAAAAAGAAGATATATTACGTTGGTGCAGGTTTTGTGCACAGGTAGGTTGCTCGGTTCGTGCTCGATTTGAAAAACTCGGTCCACCCGATCAACTCATTGAGTTAAGTCGGGTTTGTTTTTCGATCAAAAACCTGTCCAAAAATCATGCCACAGCCAATCAAGCAATTTAACAATACTATAACAATTTAAATAAAGTTGATTCTCCTTTTTTAATTGCGGAAATTTTATTGAATTAATTAATAAACTATTTACATAAAATTTAAAATTATGTATTTATAATTTTACGATATAAAATATTAATCTAATTTATAATTATAAATATTAGATTAAAATAACTTATTTATTTGTTCTCAATTAAAAGTTTCGAAATGAAATTTAATTTTTTTTTGATTATTTTGGACACAGCCTTAAGAATGACTATTCTATTTTATTCGAAAGGAAACTCCCTAATACTAAATATAAAAAGGTTGGAGTAAAAAAATGTATGTAAATGAAGGTCATGGTCCGGAATGCAACCCAGTCCTTGGAAAGGATTCGATCGTATATCTTCACGGTTATGATAAATAAAAATACTTTCGATAATTGGTAAAGATGGATAGCTTGGGGGTATTGCGCTTTGTTCTCGAATTCTGACGCGGCTTTGTTAATTATATATTTGACGTGTCTACCCAATTTGTCTATGATACCATCTTTCTATAAATATATTTTAAAAAAAGAATAATTTTTGTTTAAAAAGATGTGAAATAAAAATAAATAATTCTACATTTTTTTATTTTGAATTGATTACAATTTTAATGCCATCGGCCTGAGACATTTTTCCGATAATGTCGTCAAATTTTTTAGTTTCCACGAGAAGCTTAACCGCGTGGTAGACGTACATGTTATCGTTCGTGTTAGAGATGGTCAAATCGTCGATAGAAGGCGAGGTAAAATTGTCCTGCACGTGTCTTAAGTGAGGGTGGGGTTTGTATTATATTGATAAACAAGATTATTTGAAAATGAATATAATATACCTCCTCTTTCGCGTACAATTTTATCTTAAAAGATTTTATTTGTTCCGGTCCACAAATTTTTCCCCGATCCTATATCCATGATAACCGATTCGATAACCAATATTTAATTTGATTTTAATTTGTCATCTATCCTTGAACAAATGTCATAAAAAAATTAATATTTTCTATGTAAATTTTATTTTAGCTAAGCTATAAGGAAAAACAAAAATTTAAATTTTCCGTTTCTCATGGCCAAGGGCGATGGTTCTTTACCACGAATATGTATTTTGTATTTCCGCAAAATTTAATCTTCTCATTTAAAGGGCAGTGTTGCAAATAATATATATAAAAATATAAGTGATATCAAATTTTTTTTAGCTACTCTTTATATATTTTTTAAAAAACAATTAAATTGAATTATTGGTTCCTTTTAATTCATTTATTATTAGTAAAATTATGAATTGTAAAAAATGATAAATAATTATTTATATAATTATGTACAATCATAAATTAATAATAATAATATCGGATGGGGTTTTTTGAAAATATCGGTCTCGATTGGATATTTAATATTGGCACCACTCTAGCTCTTATTCTAAAAAAACAACAATTTTAACATAAAATTTTTAATATAATATATTATAAGTCACATTGGGTTATTGAATCCATTGGGATTTTAATCCTAAATGCAGTTTCTAAAATTTTAAAATAATCTTATTTGACAGGATAATCCAGCAAGTATAGAAGTACCCACCCTGTAAATTTTCAGACAATTCTGCTGTTAACTTTTGAACTACGCTTATTTTATAATCATTCTTTTTATACATATATTTTATATAAATAGTAAAATACACAAAGAATATGGCTCAAATTGTCTGAAATTTATATAGTTGCTACTCTACACACTTGCTAAAATATATTTTAGGTCAAATCAGAATTTTCAAATTTAAAAGATCTATCTCGGTAAATGATTAAAAACCCATAAATTCCAAATCCCAATACATAAAGATAAATCCAATCCTCATCTATATTTGCCATCTTTCAAAAAAAAAATCCTCCTTTTAAGCTAATATAAATATTTCATTTTTTTTACTAACCTTATTCCTTTTCAAAAGCGTTTAAAAAAATAATTTTCTTAGTGAGGCGCAAGCGAGCAAGTCAAAGGGAAAAAAACTCGAGGAATAAAAGCGCGACATTCCCTCAGGGCAAATTCGTGAGATGGGGCAACACCCATTGACATATAATAATACCTATACTGACGATGCATCGACGATGCATTCATAATGATGCATTTGAAAGTGTCGTTGAAATGCAAATCAACTGGATGGGCCATTTTGGTAACCCATATAGTAATTATTCTCACGTTAAAAACTACTATTAAATTGATAACTTGCCTCCTTATTATCTCGATGATCAGGCAATTCTTTAATAAAATTTGCGTCAGACATAGGAATAAATTGGCCTCTCGATTAAAATTTTTAATAGTAATCAAAATGGTGACACCAGCTGTTTTCACTGATGTACACTTTTAATGAATGCATCGCCAGTCTAGGTATTATTTTATGTCATTGAACTTACCCTGATTACAGTTTTTTTTGATTATCGGATCCCATAAAATCTTACAAATTTATAATTTTTGTGGCGGACATTTAACTCGGAGAAAAGTTTTGAATCACACAATTCATTTTGTATAAGAAAATAGTAAAAATCAATTTTGGTTCGTATCCCAATAATAATATAATATTTATTTAATATTTACCTCAGGGTGAAGTAATAATTTAAGGCTTCCTCTACGTCATAATGTTCGAAACATTTCGTGTAAAGGGACACGAGACGGGAGACGTTGAGATTGTAGGAAGGCCCAAAACTGGCCTTATTTTCCGTTACTTTGAATAATAAATAAATAAATAACAGTGAAAAAAATAATAATTCCGACTTAATAGAAGATGTACTCAGAATATGTAGAGTATCTACCCTATGAATTTCAGATAATTTTCGCCATAAATTTTAAAGTATTTTTTTTTAATTTAGATGAAAGATCCATATAAATTAAGCGTATTTATAAATTTCACACAATTGCTTGAAATTCACAGTTTGGGTACCTCTATACAAATTCTGAAATAAATTTGTTTTTTCTAAATCTTTTAAAATGTGTAAAATTAGTCAATTAATAGTTGTGGATAACGTTATTAATTTGTATTGCACGCATATTTGTTCCCTATTAATTATTGAATAAATTAATTTTCTAAATAATATTTTTCGGCTGGCAAAGTCATCATTCCCATTCTTAATTTTCCCTTTCCGGTTCGTGTCCAAAAGTTCTGTTCCATTTCCCTGTATAACTAATTTACCTCCTTTTTTTCGTGAGCATTTACAATTTTAAGAAAGACCAAAATCTATGTTACATATTTCAAAGAAGAGAAAAAGTATTTTTTTTAAAAAAATCAATTCCTCACCTTTCTTTAATTAATATCACATTTAATTTATCAACAAATTGTAATATTTTAAGCAACAAAAATATTGTATATATCATTTATATAAAAATTACAAATTTAAAGTATAAAAGTGAATTATATTTTATTTGAATGAGAGTATCCGCTTTAGCTCTACCCTACCCGTAACTTATTGATAACCTGCCACAAAAGGAAGTTAGTAAGAAAAATGCTATATTGTGCAATAAATTATTTTTTTTTTTTACTCAAATCATCTTCGACCCTTTTCGTTATTTGCAAGGACTCGGCTTGAAGTAAGGCAACAGCTAAATTAACGGCTTGGCTAAGCATAATCCTATCGTGGCTTTCGGTTATAACGAGTGATGAAAGGAATTGAATGGCGCTTTCGAATTGGGCGATCAGCACTAAGACCCTGAAATAGAGCCATGGCCGGTCACGTGCTTTAAAGTAATCAGGACCTGGGTATTAAATATTTATTTTTTTTAATATAGGTTTGAAAAAAAAGTAAATAGTTGAGGTTTACCATATTGTTTGAGCAAAGAGTTCTGTAACTCCGAAAATAGAAGTTTGCTGCCGGCACTTGAATGTTGTGAGGATCGTTGTCCTATGGATTTATCTGTTTTTATAATAATAAATAATAAAAAAAAATAAAGTTAACGAATCTATAAGAAACTGGAAAGACATATTTAACGATATCGGCCGTTAAACGGTTGGGCCGATTCTATATTTAAATATCGGCACCTCCCTAATTAATAAATAAAAGGATAGCCGAGCTTTTAATGATGATGGCCGAGTCCTTTTAATCGTAAACGTAAAGTAAATAAATATTATAAATGGGAGATAGAACAAATATAATCATAAGGATATTATTGTATTTATTTTTGAAGTAAAACTTTTAACGGTTTCGGTCAAGCGCGTTTGATCGAAAACGCTGGGTTCAGGACCGACTAAGCAGAGCTTGAACCATAAATAATCATCTGTCTTGGGCATTATTTCCTCCAACGTTTCCTCGAAATCGAGTCTACCAACCACGCAATAACAAGCCCTGTTTAAATGAAATGCTTCGTTTAAATATGTACAATGTCAATTCCCTCCACAACTATTACTTGCATAGGAGGGGGAGTGGAAAAGGGGATAGGGGTTGAGTGCATTTTATTAAACAAGCTTTTGTATAATTTTATTAGGTCTAACAAAATATTCATATTATGCCTCCTTTAAAATGAGATATACGTAATTTAAGTTAGGCTGATATAGTGCTTATGAATTCAAAAATGTGAGGCATTTATAGTTAATCTTGTTTCATCCATTTTCTTTCTAACCTTTCTTTTTCCCACCTTTTGGCATGAAGAAGAGCAAATAGAACTATAATTGGTCAATCCATTTAAAATGATAAATAAAATTGAGACTTTCGTCCAACCCCTTTCAATTTCGATAAAAAAAAATTTGCAGGCACGTCATATATTTTCTAATTTTAGCTGATTACCATTATAAAGGGATTTAAGGTAGAGGTGTGTATTGGGCGAGTTTATAACTGATATGCCCACTCATTGTTTTAACATCGCTCCCCCCCCCCCCAGGTTTAATTTCTCAAAATTCACCCAATGGCGAGCTCATTTCTCTAAATAATTTGCACAACCCTCGTCTAATTCTTAAAAAATTATTTTATTGGTTGGTTTGGTTCTTTATTAATTTTATTTTAATACTTTCTACTGAATAAACTTACAAAATATGCAATATTATGACATTAATAATTTTTAATAAATATAAGTCAATTCTGCTCATTAAGCCTGAAAAAAATCTTTCAAATTTGCCCGCTCATATTATAATTATTCATGGGGAAATTTTCTTCCAAAAAAAATATAAACTTTTTATAAGGGTCGGAGACAAATTTAACCGTCTTTTTATATTCGATTTCCAGGTTTGAACGCAAATCAAAACTTTGAGTGAATCCTGTCTCCTCGGTCGAAATATGTTTATCCCTAATATAGTCAGTGTATGAGTCCACACTTTCATTAGCTTCCGCCAGAGCTTCGAGCGCATTGAAAAATGTTTCGCCGATTATATGTCTTTTTTTTCAAAATAAATATAAAGATACTTTTGTGGGTGGGTGAAAAAAAAATTAATATATTTTATCCTCTTCTTCATTCCATTACTATAAAATATAAATATGTCGTATTAGGATATGGAATTCATGGCGATTAGGAATTTTTCATAGGATTTGTTAGAAAATATATTCGAGCATGCGCAGAGTAACCAACCACACTGTAAATTTCAGACAATTTTGCAATAAACTTTTGAAATCTTATTATTATTAGTGTTGTTAATAGACCTGTGCGCCGATGTCTCAATCAACAGCGGCGGTTTTTTAAAAATTTTTTATCGGCGTTCGGCGGCGCGCCGATTTCGCCGCCGCCTACTAAATTTTCGGCGGCGGCGGCGCAATATTTATTTAAAAATTTTTTTTAATGAATTTAATTTATAAATCAATATATTTTTTAATGAATTTAATTTATAAATTAATGTATTACATTTTTTATAATTTATGTAGGCGATCTTTTCTAACACATTGCTAACATAGTTTAATTGATCTTAAATTATTTCCCGTCTCACTCCAATTTAAATTTATGTATTTTCTCATTCTCAGAAATAAACTAAGGAATTGTATTTTTATTTTTACTTAATCAGACTCATACCAACAACACATATAAGAAATATCCTATTGATTTTTATTATAATTAAAATTTGTAATGCAGGCAAAATATGAAGTATGAAATATGATAAGTCAGAATTCAGATTTAGCAAAATTATAATTGTCATGAATAAACAGTATTTTATCAAGATTTATAGGACATAAAGAACTCCTTTTAGCATTGAGTATTAATCCAGCAATGGAAAAAATTCTTTTGCTGAGTGTACTGGTTGCAGGTATGCAAGGAACCTTCCTAGCTAAATTGGCATGCATAGGAAGTTCCAGTCGCTTTTTCTTCCAAGAGCAATGCATCCTCTTCTGAAATAATATTCTGGCTGAGTAAAATATGGCATTCTTGTTTAAGATTAGTAATATTGTTATAATCGTTAATAGGAAGGGAATGTTTTCGAGCTAATTTCGCTATATAAGAGCATGATGTACCATCCTAGACTTGAATTTCACGCTGAGCATTTCTATCATGCTCTAAAAGTTTTAAATGTCGTATTAGAAATTGCAATGATTTCGTAGAATTTGAATTTAAATATTGTAAAACAATATTAGGATTTTGAAATCTTAGATCAAGTATAGTTGCTAATATTTAATATTTAGAATATAATTTTATTAATAAAAATATAAAATAACTTGAAGTTCAGTGATCGGAAACCTATGGTCAAGCTTTTTTTTCATATTTTCTTTTAAGCATATTATATCTGAGCAATCAGATTTATTAATTTGTATATGAGCTTCTATTTCACTGCTAAATGATAACCCTGAGTTTATTGTAGATCCTTTTTGGGAGGAAAGAAATTCCACCGACTCTCGGAATGGATTTACTTAAAGCTCATCTATCATATCCTATTCATTATTAAAGAGTTTTAAAGATTGTTTTCCTATTTTATTTAGAACATTATTTATAGGAATTTTGTTTGCAATGCAAATACTTCCTAGCATAATATGCTAGCGGGTTGGGCAATTTATTTTTAAAGTTTTTGCATTAATTGGATTGGTTGGTGCAATGCCATTTCTATTATCCGATTCATCAGACATATCAAAATGGTAAGGTATAGATCAGAATCATCAATATCCAAGATATTACCTGTCTCATAAATTGAATGCAGACATTTACCATGTTCAGCCTCAATTTCACATTCCAAATCAGCTACTCGATATCTGAGGGCTGAAATAATTTTTCTAATTATTTTAATGAGAATATCAATCTTGGTAACTTTTTTTATGCCAACAACTGTAACCAAATTATGAAGTCCATGCCCTAAGCATAAATGATGCTCATAATCCCCTAATCTGACGCTTCTTTTGACATTGGCGCCAGCATCAGTTACTATTTGTATTATTTTGGCTTTTAAATGGAACTCCTCTTCAATACTATCAATATCAGATAATATTGTTTCCCCAGTATGCTTTTGAGTTACATTTCTAGTTGAGGGTAAAATATTTTAAATCAAAATTTTCATCTAAATGATGAAGACTAAATGTGATATAATTTCGACGCTTGAAATGATCGGTCCTCAAATCAAAAGTGATATAACAAAATTTTGGTCCAGAGTCAAACAAATTTAAAACATGCGCCTCAGAGATAAATAAACATCGTCTAGTGTATCCCGACTAATGGTTGTCCTATTTGGCAATTCTGACGAGGAATCAATTATCTTATATTTCTAATTTTTGAACAATTTATTTTTTAATAATCATTTTATATAAATTTTAAACCTTTAGAAAGTCTGTCATTCCTTTATTGTTTATAGAATCAAATGGCATTAAATCTAAGCAGACATTAAAACATAATTTCGCCTTATTAGATTTCATATTTATTTTAAACATTAGAAAGATATATAAAAACATTAAAATAGTTAGGGCTAAAATGAAACAAATTAAATTAGATTATTAACTTTCAAAATAAAGCTTTACATAATTAATTTAATAAATTGTATATTAAGTTTATATTTTAAAAGATATTTAAAAACAAAATAATAAGAGCTGGAATGAAACAAATTATAAATTTGATTTAGTTTAACCTTTCTAATAAAGTTTTAAAAAATTATATATTAAATAATACTTTAAAAAGATATTTACAAAACACAATTATAAATTAGATTTAATGTTAGTATTCAAATTAAAATAATAATAATTTAATATATAAATATAATTAATATGCTTTCTAAAAATTAGACACGCCGCGCCGCCGCCATAATAAAAATCGGCGGCGAGCCGGCTCGCGCCGCTGATCTCAATCGGCGGCTTTTCCGGCGTGAATAAAAATACCGGCGGCGCACAGGTCTAGTTGTTAAACGGCTCGATTTGAGCCGATTTTTAAAAAAAATGGCGAACTCAATATTATATCCAGAAAAATATAACACACAAGTCTATTTGCTCATAGATGGCACAGAGATATCTATTAAGCGAAATTCGAGGATTATGCAATATTTTTGCGAAAATATTTTTTTTTGTATAAATGAAAAAAAAAATACGCAAAAGTTTAAGGGCAAAATAGATTGAATTTCAAGGTGTGCACACATTCCATGTGCTAGAATATATTTTCCAATTAAATCCAACTATTCATATTTTAAAATCTAGATTATGAATCCCAGTGAATTCCATATCACAATACGACATATAATGTATAACCCCGCATGACCCTGCGTTCAGGTTAGCGCGAGTTTGCGCGCGAAGTATCATTCATTTTTTGTATACTTCACCAATTCGCGCTACACATATTAAGCCACTGACAAGTTATTAAATTCGTATGAATTAAAAAAAATCCAAAAAAAATAAATAAATTTAGAAAGATTTTATTTATTTATTTACTATAAAGACTAACGCCTCATTTATAGTAGGCACGATTTGTCCGAGCAATGCGAAATTAATCGCCAATGAAATCACAGCTAATTCGTCAGATCTATAATATTTTTTGAAAATATACGTAAACAGCCATGGCGATTTCATCATTTCGCACCGTATTTATACATTATACCTATTATTGGCTTGATTTTGTAGCATATGCAAACGATATATTTCGCATCACTTGGGCAAATCGCGTATACAATCATTCACAGTTAGCGCGAATTCGCGGCGAAGTATACAAAATATGATATAAATATAATAATTTTACATTGATTTGTGTATACTTCGTCGCGAATTAGCGGAAACAGTGAATTCAGAATAAGGCTACAAATATTCTGAGTATTATTTTTTTTTAAATTAAATTGAATAATTATTCATAATTTTTTTTTAAATTCAAAATTTAGGTTTAATCCTTATTTAACAACTAATTGCATGACCATTCACACTAAATAACATTATTCTGTTAAGGCCTTGAATTTATGAGATTCCCACATAATTCCCGTGGAATAGAATCCCATATCTTAGTGCCGTTAAAGTAACTACAGTATGGTGCAAACTCGATAAAAAACATTTTCCATATTTTTTAATTTATTTGCAAAAAAGTTGCTACAATAATATATTTAAATTTTCTTAACAATTTTTGCAAGTTAAAAATTTTTTATTTACAAAATTAAAAAAAATGGAAATGTTTTCCATTACAATCTGTACAACACTCTAAGTCAGGTTTTGCGAAAAAATAACAAGTAGGAAAATAAAAAAACAGTTATTTTTTAAATATATTAAAATATGATAATTAATTTTCCAAATTTAACAGGCAATTTTAGGCACTAATTTTTTTAAGGTTCAAATAAAAATTTATTTATCACATTTTCTTATTAGTGCGAATTCTACATAATGGTTTCCGTAATCATTATAACATCATTTTGGTTATCATATTCATGCGTAAATTTCATTTTCATATCAACTTCCGGTTAACATTAATTTCAACTTAATCCTGAGCTTTAATTTTCAAAAAAAAAATCCCTTTTTAGCTTTAACCTTTTCGGGTGGTAAGCTCTTTCAATATCTTTTTCCATTTTATATTATTCATAAAATCCATCTTATTCAATTTATATGTAGTAATATTGGCTTTAACTTTATGGGTCCTTTTATATAAAACTAATATATTATAATCTAAGGAGACCATAATATAACCTAATGTAAGTTATATGTTTTTTTTAAATTTATTTTTTTCACTTCAGATCCGCCCCGTTCCTATAACCAATTTTACCTCACACCCTCTCTTAATACTCAACAACAGTAAATCATCATTTCTTTATTGGAGACTTAAAATCCTCCAAAAAAAACCGAGCTCACAACAAGATAACTCATGTCCTTCCTTGCACATATTATATTAACACTCATTCGATTATGCGCAAAAAAATAAATAAGTATATCTAAATATATAATCGATATATAATTTATAAGAATTATAATCATATGCCATTAATTAAAACTTAAATATTGGTAAAATTGTTCAATTAGATTATAAAACAAACAGTTGGTGGTGGCAGCATGAGTTAGCAGCGCATACTTCTAATACAAATTAACCCATATTTTTTTAATATAAAAATAAAATAGATACTTTTGAGCCTATGTGTGCTAAATTTAGGTTTATGCATTTTTATGAGTTATTAGCTTTTTGAGACTTATGGTAGAAATTATCTTACCTTTTCTAGTTATATTTTTTAATATAAATTTTATAGCGAAAATAAATAAAATATCCCCATTATATTCTTTTCTGCATAACAAAAATATTTTATTAATTAATAATTGTTGAATAATAAATATTTCAAATTTCATAGTGATTGAAAAATGTTTAGTAATAAAAATTATGACTTTTACAAAAGTCATCACAAAATAAAATTAGAATTTGTTATTAAGTGTAAGAATATGGGAAACTTTAGCAGGGAATCTACAAAATTTATTGTATATGCAACTAAAATTTGGAGCAAAACACGTTACAGGATTTGATTTACCATCTTATCTCATGAGGGTTAGGTTTTATTATCATGGATGTATATGTGTGGCAGTATAATTATATTTACATGTTTTTATTTGGTAAAATAATAAGAGAAAAAAAACTTGACAAATCTGGCATAGATGAGGGCAATGTGGTAACGACCAAGTCGAAAGCAACCATAAATGAAAGCCCAAATTGGCACCCCATCTAAGCTAAGTTTGCTGTTGAAATCCCTGCTGTGAGTAAATTGGCTCTCCTGTCCTAAGACTTCCTTGTAAGCACCAAATGAATTATTGGAAGAATGTTGTTGTTGGCTTAAGGAGACCTTGTTGGTATTATTACTGACTAGAAGGGTAAAGCAAAATTTTCTGACCAACAAATATGCCTGGGCCATGGTGGGGGAAGATAATGGTGGGGTTTTAAAGGCTAGTTTGGAGTCAGGGTTGATTCTATGAGACAAGGGTTGGCGGGACTCCATCTTTGATATTGTTGTTTCAGCATATATGGAATATCTTAATAACATTTATAATTAATAAAATTAATCAAAATATTTCATTCATTTGTATTTTATGACTATTACATTTTTTCCAGATATTGTTTGGCTTGATAGATATGTTGACATTGAAACTCTACAGAGCCTCTATAAATTTTTGCTGGTTGATCTGATAAATTTGGAGTTTTTATGACATTGCAAAGTAGGTCCCACATTTCCCTAACATCCTAATAAAACATAATAAATTTATATTAAAATAAAAATTGCTTATTATATAATAAGGTAAAAATTTATTAATACTTACTTGTTGAAAATTTAAGTCATACATATATGAATTGAGTTATATTATATATAAAATTTTTCAAATTATAAGATATAAATGTTTGATTTAAACAGTATTGTTAAAAAACACTGCTCCACACCTGGAGCCCAGCTATTTTTCAAAACTCATCTGGAGATAACACCTTTTTGAGGTGGAGTGGAAGATTAACATTCCTGCAATCTATTAATTTTATTGAATAAATTGTTTAAAAGATCATCCTAATTAATGCATTTGTTGATAATATAAAAATATTTATTTATTTAAATTTATGTAACTATTATTTTCCATTTCCATTCTACAAAAAATATTTAACTCTTCTAAGAGAAGTGAAATCTTTGAGACAAGTTTCAACTTGTGGATATATGATATCCTGATTAACATAAAGTTATAAACCAAAATATTCATACTGTGTCTGCCCCAATATCAATTTAGTGACCACGGCTGATGCAAAGAAAGCTTTTTAAAAAATTATATCCCAAAGCTCATTTCAATTTATGTAATTAACAAAATATGCCCACAAATATATTGATAATATAATAAGAAATATGAGAAGATATTTGATATGTACAAATACCAAATGGAATATATATAATCAATCAAGGTATTGTTAAATAAAATATTAAGTGAAAAACTGCAAGATCTTTATGTAATAACAATGATTTATATATTCTTTAACTAATAGAAACATAAATTTATTAAAGAATATAGCCAAGTAAATGGTAATATAATCGTTATTTTTTGAAATGAATAATATTTCAAGTTATGGAGCCTTTGGCAAAAACCTATTCCAGCTAGTTAGACTTACTTCAAGATTAAATGATTTTGTAGGATTAGATTTTGCCAACCTTCTGTAGAGTCTACATGGCATTGATAAAAGGTTTATAATTTTATAAAAATAAGTTTTTTTAATAACTATTGCAATTTTCAACTGTTTATAAGGATGATAATATCATCGCTTTTACTATCCACCCTGAATTCAAATTGAATTAGGAATTAGTGTTGTTAAATAGTCGAGTTTTTACGACTCTGAACTCAAGTCGGAGTCGCAAAACTCATTTCAAATTGAGCGGCTCAATGAGCCGCATGAGTCGGCTTCAGAGTCGGCTAGTGTTGTAAAATAGTCGAGTTCAACATTGAACTTGGAGTCACAAAACTCATTTCAAATTGGCGGCTCAATGAGCCACATGAGTCAGCTCGATGAGTCGGCTTCAGAGTCCCTCTATATATTATACTCATTAAAGTTGTTTACTTAAAGCCGACTCTGAAGCTAACTCATCGTGCCGACTCATGCGGCTCATTGAGCTGCTCAAATTGAAATAAGTTTTGCGACTCAAAACTTGACTAGATTTTAGGCTAAGTCGACTTGACTTAGCCGTTTAACAACACTATTAGGAATGGATAAGCAGGGATCAAAATAGGGAATTAAAAAATCAATTAATTTTATAAGAAAACAAATCCCTAAAAGATACATACAATTGCATTGAAAATATCTTCCAATGATTTTGGAGATCTTTTTGGACTCACACAAATATATTATCAGGAAGATAATGTAATAGATGTATGATAGCTTTTTTTTGGAATAGTGGGAGCCAGAGCTAGCTCCCCTTAAAAGGAACATTAAAGATTATGATATAAATTAAATTACTTCATCTCCATACATGTTTGCACATTCATTGAAGTTATGCAAAAGAAATAATGAAGGATTATAATCATCTATATCTTCATTTGATTTTTCTGCAAGAGCTTTGTTATAATTATATTCAATCAATCGTATGGCCTGAGCTGATTCTAAAGGTTCTAAACAAGTTGGTCTATTAACAGAATTTGTAATGAGATGGGATGAAGTGAAATTCATATTTGTTGAATTTTCTAATACAGAATCATTGGAACTAAGTGATTGATTCTAAAAAAATTTAAATTGTAGAAAAGCATAATAATATATTCTAACTTTAATTCTAGGTTTATTCTTCAGTTTATTTTCAAAAATTTTTGGCTTGTGTAAAGGTCCAATCATTGATGGAGCAAAGCTTCCTAATTCTAATAGCAATTTTCTTTTTTCATTACTCCACAGGTCATTCATAACCCTATTACAAAATTCATCACAACTTTTGTCTGACTATACATTTATAAACTATAATTAATTTTATTTAACAAGAAAAATTACCAATCTATTGCTATCCTCTATTAGTGTAATTAGTAAATTTTCAGTTTGATTTTTTAATATGCCCTATTTATCTAATTATATAAAAATTAATTATAATTATTACATCAATATCTGTCTCATGAGGAGCATCACACTCCTCCATTGGAATATTGCTCTGGAATTTTTCAACATTTAATTCTGGAACCGTTATACCCCGATTACCGAGTAATAAGGAACTATAAGTTATCAAGATTAAATTTAACAATAAAATTAGCCATACGCTTTAAAGAGATCATTATCTTGATTCACTGACTTTTGATTTTTAAGAAAATTCTGGCCTTCTTCTAGTATTTGATAAATGTTTCTATTAATTTTTGGTATAGTTGAAGTCCCTTCCAGCTCAACACTTAAATTCTGGGCTTTTTTTAAAATATCGCTCAAATTCATTTTTTCCTTAATTTAAAAAAATTTAACCGAGCCATTTAAGGTTTTAGATTATTTTATAATAATATATTTATAATTAATGTATATTTAATATATCATATGTTAAAATATAAGAACATAAAATTGTAATATGTAAAAATTATTATATGCAACAAAAATAAAAAAGTTAGGTTAGCTCCTTAGGATGGAGGTTTCCAATGACATAATCAACGAGTTATGAATGGCAATGGAGAGTCTTTGCCTAATGTAAAACTTTCCCTAGGTTTATCAGTGATTTTACGAATAAAAGAACCGAGTTCCTTGAAGTATGTTGAAGCACGGCTATCAAATGTAGCTAAGTTAGAGGAGATCATAGGCATAAAAATGTGTGCATTGAATATTTCCGAATATTAATTAATTGAATAGCTCTTTGATGTCCATGATGTTTGTGCTAATTGTAGAGACGAGGGAATCTATGCAGGAAAAGTTGTTTGATTTCTCTTCTAAGGAATTTGGGTAATGTTATCTGGACGTTTTTCATCAGATCTAAAAAGACCACTAGGCTCTAGGATCGATGGAATCTGCACAGATTTAAGGGCAGGCAATACAATGATAGCTTAGAATGCGGTCAGTGTCTACATGACAGAATTTTCACTGGATGCAAACCCCCCTTTAAAACTTTTGCCTACCCCCCTAAAAAAAATTCCCATCTTAGGCGGCGATATTTCTCCATTATTATTTCCACTTAAATTATAATGATAATCTTTTCAGAGAATTTATAAAAGAATAACTTAAATTAATCTATTTCTACTACCAACTATCAATATTTTGTAAATATAAAGGATTTATTTTTAGATAATAAATTCAATTAAAACCTCCATTATTTACAATAAATTCATTATTATAGCAATATGAGCTTGCTGAAATATCTAAACCTTTTAAATGCAGAATTTGGAAAACAATGTATATAATTGTTTGCAATATATAGATTTGGTCGATGAATTGTATTATAATAGTTCTATAATAAAAGTATTATTTCTACAGCAATAAATTTGTCCTATTTCATCTCAAATTTAATAGATAACCCTCCAAAAAATTTATCCTACCCCCATTAAAGTCGCTTACCCTTTACCCTCCTCAAAAAAATAGGATGCAAACTATTCCAACCCCTCCCGCTCATGTAGATGCTGAATACGGTTAATGATGCTTACTACCTTAAGGTATTACCTATCAAATTTGAATTTTGTTTGATTGGTACTATCAAATATATTTATAATATATATTTGAAAAATCATGATTTTTGGAAAGCGTCTGTGCTAGTCGGCAAGAGCGTTGCTTACCAATCCGATAATTATTGGTTCGAATCCCAGCAATGATCATATTTTTTTTCTTAATCTAACTTGATGGTTCCGTCCTTGGGAGGATGATATAAAGGAAGCCGGACTCGACCACGTGATTCCGTTATAATATATGTTAAATAATATAGGACTCTTTACATTTTAATAAATTTTGGTATTTGGTAATATGTATCAAATAAAAGTAAAATCACGATTCACTCGGTACTCCCTTTGGTAGTAAGCATCATTAACCTAGGAATGCATTCTTTGCATGAATGGCAGTGCAGGTCATGTACTATATGACAACCAGTCGCGCGATAGTTACAGAATTTATTTTTGCATTCATAATATAAATTTTATTAAGAAAATAGGTATAAATAATATAATTTATTTTGAAATATAATATTTTGTCATAAAAATAAACAAAAATTGTATGCTTTTTTTTTAAAACATAAATTTATTAATAAATATCTTTAAGTATAATAAGCTGATTTTTCTACCAATTCTTTTTATTATTGTGTTTACTGCCTATTCACATTTTTTTGTAATAAATAAATTCAAAAATAAGAAAAGTTCAAAATAAATCAGAAGGAAGAAATGTTTCATATAAACTTTCATATCCTATATTTTAATAAAATTGATAAACATAATAAAATTATCAGAGAAATTGATAAATATAATAAAATTATCAGAGAAATTGCTAAATATTAAAATTTAAGGTATGGCAATAAAACTGTTGAAATGAAATTTAAAAAGGTAGTAAGTCTCCGTCAACATACGTATTTTAATCTACATTCTACAAAATATCTAAAGCTAAAACGGGTCAATTTCAGCATGTATTGATCTGATATAACGGTATTATAATTTTCATTTGAGGTTTTGTAAAAGCAAATATCTAATAAAAGTCTAATTTGGACAACTATTAAGATCAAATAATGACTTAAAATTTTTTATTTAAAATAATATCTAAAAACCTTATTAAAGTGATCCCTGAGTAATGGCCAAATTAAAAAAAAATACCTTAAACCCTTTATAAAGTGAGTGCTTATAAAATACTATTCAATTCGACAAGCAGTTATCCGGTGGCATTATAACTTTTATTGCCAAAATATCCAAAAAATATTCTCTAATTTACAAGAATATAATTAAAATTAAAATTATTTTTTTTAAAATTTATTTGACATTTTCTAAAAATATATCTCAAAAAATGATATTAGGACACTATGTGGTTAAAAAAAGACACTTCCGTTTTTCAAAGAGTAACAAAATAAAACATGGTAATGCTAAAGGTCACTAGGTATTAATTTTTAGTAAATATTATTAAAACTAAGATAAAGATAAAAGTATGGTGATTGACTAATAGGGGAAAAAATTTGTTGTAATATTTTTTGGGGTCAGAGAATATCAACCCTAAGCTAACGAATAATAGAATAATAGAATTATTCAGTAAGATTTGTACTTGTAGGTCGTAACACTAAACCTATGCATAATAATAATAATGATCCATTGATCATATTGTTTATATTCAAATATCAATCCTCTTCGTACATGTGAGCTAAAGTTTTAATAAGTTGTGGATGTTTTTTTCCCTATTCATCAGGCTTGTCATCCAGTTGAGTTTATCGCCGATTAATGAATCAATAGTATCAGGATGCTAATCAAAAGGTTTATCAAACTATAGAATAGAATAATCCTTACCAAGATCTAGCTGTAGTTTTCACATTTTAAATTAACTAGTAGATATCTGACGGGTAAAACGATTTCTCTTATTTTTTAACTAGATCATTAACTGTAACAACTTTTTCTAAATATGCTCAATTGTTAATCAATTTTAATAAACCCGTATATTTAGCATAAATGATGCAAATTCATATTCACATTATTATTTTTAATTTTCCAATATTACAATTAAAACTTGTACTAGGAATATGCCAATACCTTACAAATTTCTCAGTAATATCTATTAGTCATATTATTTACCATGATTATGAATTCAAACTGATCCTTCAGTTCATCCGGTATGCCTTTTGAAATTTACAATCAACCCGAACATAATATGACCATCGATTTCTCGATCAATTGTTTTCTAATCCGAAACATCTATGCTATATCCAAACTGTTAGTAGGTCTGTGCTAAGACTTTTATTGTCCGGTAACGAAATTAAATTTGGTGTGGCCTCATAGCCCCCAATTTACTTCAGCTTCAAAAAATAATAAAATAATGAATTAAAAATTTCTTTTATCTATATAAAAAATTACTATTATCTATGTAAAAAATTATCAAAAAATCAACTTTTTATCATAATGTATACCAACACTTGGAATGTTCAGCGATGTATATACAATTTAATACTGGTAGATCTGAAAATAGTTAAATAGACTTGTGGCATCTTTGGAAAATCGGATATCCAAAAAAAATTGTCTCATTACAATAAAAAATGAAAACGATTACAATATTTGATATTAAAAAAATGATATAGATACGACATTCCGTACTGGGAGGAAATGTTTCAAATCTTAGTTTAATAGGGATGCGTTCCTTTTTTTTAAAAAAAAGAAGGAATAAATTTTTTAAAATAATTTATAACAAGTAATTTTTAAAAGGTCCAAATTTATGAATTAAATATGCCTAACATCATTTAAAATATGAGTAAATAAATACAATTAGTTATTCCGATATTATTTATTATAATATTTTCACGCACTTTTTAAATGCTAGAAATTTTCATACATTGTTTTTTATAAATGGGTGGAAAAATTAATTAAATTTTTTTATTTTTTTTAATAAAAACACATATATAAAATTTCCCATATTCACTTGGGAAAAACCATTTGCATTTTCCAAAAAGTATTTCTCGTTACTTTTGCAAAAAATTTGTTTCCTTAAAAAAAACGCTATAACTAATGATGCTTAAAGTGTCTAGATACAAAAATATCGACACACTTTATAACAAATATCTGTCTATTAAAGAATTAATTTTTTAACATAATAGCCTCAAGATTTCGTTAATAGCTATCCAAATTCTTCAATTTATGAACAAAATCTCCAGCCTGCGTAATATGTTTTGGCAAAATATATTGGCTTAGCCCTTTTTAAAAATCGATCCGTTTAACAACACTAGTTACTTCTGTTAACGTTACCTTTTCATCACTGATATTATTTTTTTTGGAAGGGGAGGGGGGCACGATTTCAAAATAAAGTCATCATTTATTCTTATTTTTTGTTAATGTAATATAATAATTGCTTCTCCAAATTTTATTATATATCAAGGTCAATATTAATAATAAAAGAAAAAGGTAAATACGAGAAGTTTTTATTTGATTATAAATATGATTTGAAAAACAATTTTTAAGATTAAAATTTGAAGCCATTTTTATTAAATATTATCTTTACAGGATAGGCCAATATTTTATTAACCTTGGCTAATAAGGTATTAATTATTTTTTTATTTTTTAACTTCTATAAGTGGTTATTGAAGCCAAAAATTTTGCCTAAATATTCTTTTTTTTTATTGACAATGAAAATATTTCTAACTAATTTCTTAAAATATTTCACATAATATTATGATAAATTAATATTTTATTATTTTTAAATAAAAAAAAAAATATCTCGTAAAGGTAAAAAAAATAAATATTATTTGCCAAAATATCCTTGAAATTTTCGAAATGCTTTGGTTTGAAAATAAAATTTAAAGAATTCAATATTTTTTTTTCTTAAAAAAAAATAAATATTAAATAAAACTTTAAAAGATATATATAATATAGTATGAAATAGGTCCATGCAAATGCCGATGTGTAAGGCAGCCAAAATTAATTATTTTAGTGGTTGCTAAATTTTGGTTCTTGTATATTGATTTAGATTTCCTTCCCTTATTTTGATTTTCTTTTTCTTAGGGCTTAGATAAATTAAAGTTTTGTATCTAGCCCCCTAAATCATTTTCCAGACCCTGGGATGGAAAGAGAGGAGAAAAAAAATGGAAGAAGGACAGGGGGAAAGACGCTAGTAAATTGTCTATAATTTTGGAGTTGCTATTGTACTTTTTAAAAATAAAATAGTTATAAATGAAGAATATTCAACTATTATATATAGATATCGACCAACCGATATCAGTAAAATTTTGGTATGAACACTTTTTATTTAATTGGTTCTATAATTTTATCTCGTTTTTTAAAAAAAAGAAATCATTATCGTTTCAAAAAAAAAATTTTTAATTGCAGAATAATGAGATCAGGTCATAATTATTCAACATATGACATAACATTTCGACATAAAAAAATCTCCGCCCTTATGAAAAAATGAAATAAAAATTTAACTTAAAATACCATCTTATTTATTGATTATAGATTATTGTTTAATTTTTTTTTTACCTTTTTTTAATCTTTTACTTTGAAAAAAGAAAATTTATACTTACAAAAAAGTAACATATTTACAACATTTTCCTTGATTTTTTTAAAAATATTTTGTATATATTATTTATTTTATTTTTATTGCTAAAAACAAAATTTATTCAAAAAATATTTAATTTTTTTGATAAATTACTTATTTATTTTCCTACAAAAGAACAAAAAGTCGCAAATATTTTATTCCAAATATATTTTATATTTCTTTAGTATATTCTTCAGGAATTTTTAAATAAAGGTAAATCTTCATACATTTTTATAAATAAGTAATTTAATTTTTTTTTTCTTTCTAGTTAATTTACAAAAAGAATAATTATAATTTAAACTCAATAGCTATGAAATAAAACTAATATAAAATAAGAATTTAAGTAGTATAATTTTAAACGACAATCCGCTATGCCATAGTAAATCAATATGAGAGTGTATATTAGTTTCCTTGATTTTTTACGGGAAGGATTTGAGAGCAATAAGTGGCATCATTAGGAGGTATGGGGGGAGGGAGGGGCTCAACTCCCCTAAAAAGTTTGAAAAACCTTTCAAAAAAAAATTTGAATAAGTATTACATTATTTATTATATATTTTTGCCAATGATTGGATAGTAAATTATGATTTTTTTTAAAAAAAAGAACCTTTAAGTTGTAAAAAGTAACATAGCCAATTTACCCCCCCCCCCCGGTTTTAATAAATACTACCTTCTTGTTTACCACCTTGTTTTACGGTAAAGATTACTCTATCTGAAAATATTTAGTTCTCTTTATACCCTTTAGAGCCCGAAAATATTATGCAATATTCAGGACCAAGGTATTGATGATGCTAATGCACAAATATCATTAGACTAGCTATAAAAAAATATTATATTACATTTGAACATATGATCTAAATAAACTCTGGGGTTTAATTTGTTTAAAATTTTTATAAAATTTGTTAAAATATATATAATATCTTACAACAATAATAATATTTAAACACATATTTTAAAAAAGTAATGAGTAACGCAAAAAGTTTACGCCACCATAGTTTTTAGTAATGCCACAACCTGTTTTCAACAGTAATTCCTTTTCCTTTTGGAAAATTAAAATGGCGTTTCCTGTTTTCAACAGTAACGCCTTTATCTGAATAAACGCCGTTATCTAATTGGGGAAAGGTGATAAAGGCGTTAATAACGCGTTATTTGTGCCTCTAGAAGAATCAGATGTTGGCGGAAAATTATTTCAGAATTTAGAGATTATTAATTTTAGACAATTTTTTTTTATGATCAACAATTCGAATTCTATATTAAAATAGTAAAAGTTACTATGTTTGATAATGCATTTTAGAACTTTTCCAGGTTCATTACTTTTTATTTATGCATGATCGGATATTGGGATCTAATTGTGTTTCTATGTCTTTGAGGAAAAAGATCAAATTTATAAATACACTTACTTTTTTTGCTAAATTATTATTAATTTTTTTTAATGTTTTTTTGATTTGAATTTTTCTTTTCAAGAATAATTTAATGGCAAAGTCATTAACAAATTGCAGCATTTTAAATAAATAAAAATTTTATCCCAATTTTTTTTTTGATTTTTATACCATTGTATATACTACATTTGACTAGAGGGTTTCACCATATCCTTTATATGACTCATAGGTGTAAAGTCATAAATATTATTGATGTCACACAAGCTTTATCAAAAAAAATTATTAAGTCTCTTTTAAATATTGCTTTGTTTTATGCTTCTAAAATGATTTGTTTTGTTTTATATAAAGGATTAAAAAGTATATTAAATAATTTTGGAGGGGTTTGCCTTAAAAAAATACAGTTCAAGGCCTAATTCTCTAATATAAACTTAATATTTGAGAACCTACTTATTGTAAAACTTATTCATTTAATCATAAATAACCACCCCTGATTTTTTTTTTCCATCTCGATTATATTTAAATTTTTTCGATTTGATTAATGGTGACTAGAGTCGAGACCGTGTTGAGGTTATATGGATTTATCCTAAGGGCAACCTTACCACTTTGCTAAATGGTTATATGGCTCTCCCTGGAAATCCCTGGGGAAAAAAATGCAAATCATTGCTTTAATTTCACCGTTTAAATCCCATTTAATGATGTTAGACAACTATGTATATTTCATTTCAGTTATTTGAACTTTAAATAATGATATCAACAAAAATCTTCAAATGAGCAATTGAAGATTTTTATCGCCCAAAATTTTGAGCAAAATATCTTAGAAGATCAAAATAATTGAAAATCTTTTCGTAAAAAAAAATTTTGAGCAAAATGAAAAATGTTTTTTGCAAAAAAATCTTCTTTGGGCATGCCCCAAATTTTTTTTTACATTGAATTTTGAGCAAATGTTAAACCGTGCAAATAATTGATTTGAAGAAGCTAAATTTGGTTTGATTTATGGTTAAAACAAAAATGGCCAAGTTTTTTTAGCGAGATAGTTTAAGTTATATAATACATAACACCAAAGAAAATGTTTTCCACTAATAAACAAGGCTATTTTGATAGACCTATCCAAAAACTATATATCAGTCAAATATGGTCAAATAGTCTAAAATCAATCTTGAATATAACGTAACGGGGAAAAAATTGATTTGGAGATGATTATTTTTAAAAATGGTTTCCAAGCATCAAATAAATTGCTTAATGTTTCGTGAGTGTTTTGGTTATTCTTATTATTCATATAAACACCAACATTATCAAGGCATTATAAAAGCTAATGTTTATTTTAAGAGAAATTTTTTTTTAAAAAAAATGTGTAGGAAAAAGCTTCTGGGTAAATTGTTTTAAAATTATTATCAATATTATTATTAAAAAAAATATATTTCGGCTTTTGTTTCCTTATGAAACTCCATTAATATTAAATGTAACACTATATTTTCATAATGCATTCATTTTATAGTTTAGGGAAAGAGATTTTTTTTTGCCTTTTATAAATCAAGACACTTTCAGATAAAAGATTTATCAATAATATTTTCTAATCCTTGAGTGAATTATTTAATTATTATTATATTAAAAATAAATTAAAAAAATAAAGAGGGCGAGTTTACCAAATGTGTAAGCCGTAGTTAATACGATAGGGTCATTTAAATTTCGAAATATATTGTGATTTATTGCTGTTCTTTATGGTCCAATATGTTGTCTCGTTACTTTGGTAACTGTAAATATGCTATTAATTATAAAGGCCACCTACTAACGCTGCCGCACTATATATATAGGTAGTTTAGTTTTTAAGTTTTATTATGTAATACGCACTGGAACTATTTTTTTTTTACTTTTATACCAAATTTGAGAAAAGGGAAATTTTAAGATCATCTTCCATATCGTTATCATTACTCCGTTTCATTTTCAGATATACTTTTAATTATTTTTTTTTATCAGATGGTGGATTGGATTTATATGATTAAAAGCAATTCAAAATTATATTAAAATTTTAAAATTAGAAATTAAGTTTCAATATTATAATTTCAAATTTAATGATAAAATATTTAAAAAATTATGATATTTATTAAAAGTAGCGGAGTAAACTATTTTTTTAGAAAATAGTAGCGCGTTATCGTAAACTCTATATAAAAAAAGTAGCCCGCTTAACACTGACAAATATGTTGTAACGTATAATCTAAAGTGGTATTATATTACATTAAATAATTAATCTTCCCCGTTTCAGAGCCGGGTTCAAGACCAAACCCGAATTCTCGAATAGTGATACCTTATCAAGTCTTTATGGCACATTTTTCCCCATGAATACATTGATAGTATATTTTGTATACTTCGCCGCGAATTCGCGTTAACTGTGAATGCAGAGTAACGAAAATGATGAGTGGCTAGTAAATAAATAAAATTGAAGACAATTTTTTCATCATAATACGTCTGTGGTAATTTATTAGCCGAAATTTCCTAAACTAAACCTGTACTGTGAAACTACCGAATCCGTGTTAAAAAAGAAATAGAGCCTGAACTCCTGCATAACTCGGATAGAATTATTGGTTCAAAAAGCCTGGTTAAAGTGTTATAGAGCGTTCTTTCTAGAAAATTTGGATATAACTAAGAAGCTGAACAAGCTTTGAAACCCATCCTTTCATTCATTCTTTCATATATCTAACCTATCCATTTGTTTGCTAAACATGTGTAAAAAGATAAAACAATGGTGAGGGGAAGGGGTATTTGGGAACCTGTCTCCTAATTAAAATTCTGCCACTTTCCCAATAAAAAAAACAATTTTTTTTTTTAGAAATTTCCTTTTTTTTGGCGTTTTAAGTGAATATTAATTTTTAAAGTACAATATAATTATTATATAAATTATTGCTTATACAAATTACCAAATTTAGTCATTTATTACAATTTTTTTTAAATGTTTTTCTATAATATATCAACTAATATGGCCAGATTAATGTTATAAGCTCAATCGATCCCATGTTAAAAATGATGAACTTAGTGTTATTAGAGCATATGACAGAAAGAATTTAATCGAATATTAAATTATTTTTCTGGCATCCCCTTCCTTTGAGGCCTGGCGTAATTGCCTTTCAAAAATTAAAAATAATGCAAAAATGCACCCCATGGTGCCCCCTCTCTACCGACTCCCGCAAAAATTCCTAGTGTACGACCCTTTATATGATTCTCCATTCCCTTTTCTTTCTTTTTTTTACAAAAGAATAGAATAATTCCAATATATAATGTGAAAATTTCATTCCTCTTTTAAATTTTTTTATTTTATTAAGTATCCACCCCTAATAAAATTATTTTTTATTAGTATATCCTATTTTCTTAACCCAGATAAGGGGAATAAATTACAAAATCGTTTTTATGCTTCTTTTTATAAATTAATAAAATAATATAATATTATATTTTTACCTCAATCGTTTATAAATTTTCATGGAGATTATAAATAATAAAAAATATTAATACTGAATATCAATTATAATAAAAACAATTTTATTAAATCGATTTTTAATCATAAAAAAAAATCCACCTCCTTAATTATTTATATAATTTATTGCTAAAATATAATAAACTTGAAAAAAAAATGTTGGGCATACACTAATATATCTTACTACATAATAATTTAACCCTTATTACATTTATAGCTGATTTAAATCTATTATTGTATTTTTTTTATTTAGAGATCTCGTAACATAAAAATAATGATAACACGTCAAATCATTTATTGATATCAATATTAAAAAAATATGGGCCCATACCCACCATAGTAATACAACATAAATTTTCGTCATTCCATATCAATTATTTTGGCATTTCAGACTTTGTTTTAGCCTAGCTTAAACAACGATAAACCTTGGTTACTAAATCTAAATTCTTTACACTTTTTAAATGGAAAGAAGTGGATATTCATATTCCTACAAGGACAACGTTTCGGGCTTCCCGCCGAATGTTGGAGAAAGATCGGGAGAAAGAGTTATAACAGAAACGGAAAAGGAGAGGGGTTATAGCGTAAAATGTTGTGGCTGCATTCCGCTATGTTTCGACAAAACAGATGGCCCTCTGATAAGGGGTGATACTTCTGTCTTTGCTAGACCTAGTGGATTTCTCAGATTATTACAATTGGTAAAATCGTGTTTTTCATATTTTGGACAATCGAATATATATTTAATGAAGTGCGATGATTAGCTGAGTCTACGAGTGATAAGAGTGAATGATTATGGTTTTATAAGAAAAAAAAATTTTGCAAACAAATATAGTAAAAATCTTTTAGGTGAAGGAAGTCTAAAATTAATTATTAGTAATTAAAGTCGCTAAATAATATAAAAATTTTAACTGTCTAGCTTCTTTCTTTCTGAGTTTATTAATTTTTAACAAAGTTAAAAACAGAGTTGGAAAAAAATTATTTTAATATTTTTCTTTTCGAGGCTAGGTCCAAAATATCAATAAATATAAAAATAAAACCATGCCCAAAATATAATCCTAGAAAATTTCAAATATTTAACATTCGATTTCATTTAAAATTTTAAAAGTTTTAAAACAATTCGAATTTTTAAAAAAGATTTTGGACATAGCCCGAAGAAGAAGTTTTTGATCAAATTTTTACTTATATACCAAATTTTTTTAAAGTTCTTTTTTATAAGTATAAATCTTTTGTAATTTTCGTGCATAAAAAATCTAAATAAGAATAAGTCACTGCCAAAGTTTTAGAAATATTATTTGCTCGAAAACTACAATGTAATTTGTTTTTAAAATCCTACTTCATCCTCGAGAAACATAAAATTTAATTGAGATGTGAAAGCATTTAGAGTGTTCTTGGGGTTGTTGTCTAATCTTATAATGGGCCCTTGTCATTTATTTTTAATTATACACACCTTTTAGCTTTTAATATTTAGAAAATATATATAATTATGTTTCATTGGATAGATCCCTCTTATAATAGCTTTCATAGCTGTAGAATTGGCTAATTGGTGTTTTTTTGGTCTCAGGTCCTATCGATTTTTCAGCACGGTCACCATGACTCTCATATGGATCAACCTCATATTTTTTTTCATTTACCTGTGCCAATGCCAATGGAGAATGAGGTGTTTTGATTGCTACATATTGGTAATATATTATATTTATCTTATATATTTAGAAGTTAGCATAGAAAATCCGCCTCATACTCATAACCCGCTTTAAAAATAATTTAAACATACAAATAGAGTAGGACTCCATAGTTTTAGAAACTTGTAATGTATTATATAATTATGACATACTGACGCATAGGCTAAACAAGGGGTGGGAATCGGAAATTTGCCTGTTCTCGTAATTTACATCCAAGATTATTTTTATACAAATATAACATAACCTAGAGCTTTAGGAAAAACGCCACTTAATAGTGTTTCCTATCCTTTTAAGAAAAAAATAGACCTAAATAACTGAAGGTATATGAAGCAGAAGTTTAGCAATTCTGGACTAAGCTTCATAGACCCGGGTTTTTGTCAAATTTTAAAAAACTTCGATCATCTATGGTACATGTTTGAATGACTTGATTTTACCTTAGTATTTTAGAATATATAGAGTATATCAAACCCTATTATTAAGTTCAAACAATTTTGTCATGAATCTTTTCTTTTAAATTTACATGATAAACTAAAAGGCGGGAAGGGGGGGGGGACAATAAATTAAAAAAAAAATAAAACAAACAAAATAAAGCCCTCACTGAGATCCGGGGAAAATGATCGGCTAAAAAATTCCCAATATTTTAGCCGACTAAAAATTGGCTTAAACGGTTAAGAATATAGTACCCAACTATACTCACACGGCAATTTTGAATGATTTAAAACTAAAATCTAAAAAAAAGAGGGATAGCCTAGGGGGCCTAGGAAATATAAACCTGAAAGGTCATGGTACTTCCTAGATTTTTAACCTTTAGGGTGTAATTATAGGGTCAATGTTTGGGTTGGAACTGGGAGACACAGCAGAAATCCCAAAAATGTGTTTACGGCAAAATTGTTTGATATTCACAGGATAGGTATCAATACATGTTGGAATACGATTCCGGCATAATTCAATATTTTTAGAAATTAAATTTTAAAAAAAATGGCCCTAGTTTTTGTTTCACACTCTTTTATGCCATTTAAAAAAAAACATAAAACACTGATAAAATGAAGCAAGCAGACATTTTGAACAATACATACTTATAATATCTTTACTTTTGTTACAAAACGTCTTGAGCTCAATAAAATTAGCTATGAAATTTCTCGTCTTTGTGGATTATATTTTTTAAACGCAAATTAATTACTAATTTTAGTTATGTATCTTTGACATATATATATTTAATATAAATTAGGCGAGATTCGTAGCTAAAAGCTAGGATGGAGTATTAGAACCTGTTTCGGTTTGGTTTCCTAAGATTCAACGATTTTGATTTAACTAATATTATTAGTAAAGTCAATCTAAAACTTGTCTCAAAGTTAAGAGCAACCTTCGATTCTAATTTCAAATTCTTATCCCCCCCCCAGATTATATTTCGCTCATATAATATTGAAGATTTTTCAAAAATTTCTATTTCTAGGGCCCTTAAATTTTTGAAAACTTTGAGATCCTTCTGTGTCCAGCAGGGTCCTTGTGCTACGCTATTGAGTTATAAGTTTAATAAGTAATTATATCTGGGTGGAGGGGATGGGGTGGGATTTGCAATGTTATAATGGTAAATAGTATAAGTCTTGTCAACAAAGTATGCTTCCCCGAACCCAAGATTTTAATTAACTAGGGGAATAAGCCACATAATTTATTTTAATCATCAAAATAAGGTTTAAAAATAAATGATATCTTATAGAGGATAGACATTTTTATGCTGCCTTATCGATAGTCATTAATCTTTCCGAATCGCGTGAATCAATATTCATTGTAACAAAATTTTAAAAATTAATTTTTGAAATGTTTTAAGACAAAATATTTACTATATATATAATACTCTTATGGTAATACATATTTTATTAGGACTTTTTGTACCATGCGATAGCCATAACATTATTGATAGTGAGTTCTATCTTTTTGGCCCTGAACGTATGCTCAACTGGACACATCGTCGGCGCAGTATATATTTTTAAAATTAGATATATTGTATTAAATTTAATGTTTTCTTTTCTTTAATATATATTATAATGATAATAAGGAGTTATCTTATTAAGTTTTACGAGTGAAGTAGGAGGTGGGTTACTCTTATTTCAGTTAAATGAACTTTTTTTTTAATATAAATTTAATTGACTTGGAATTAATTGATGAGTTTCAAGATTTAAAAGGGATTATTCATTCCAATTAATTATCATTAACGAAAGTTCTGTCATTTTCATTTAAACACTGGGTTGTGTGTGGATAGCATTTTGAAATTTAATTATTTATTTATGTCTTTAAGATATAATCTTTTGTCCAAAATGGGCGCATTAAGTGTCTCTTGCTTAAAAAGAATTAAATTAAAGTAATGATTATCATTTTAAATAAGAATGGTGTTTACTGTTTACTATTAATCCTAATCTTAAACAACGATTGCAATAACAATGAAAAATTAGCGTTTCGCTTCTTATATCGTTTCTTCTACACATGCTTTTTAATATTAACACTGATCTTCCTTTTGTAAACTATTTGGGGTCTTCTAACAATTGCTTGTATAACAATAAAGATTGATCCTACTAATACCAACGATAGTTTCTTCCAAGACCACTATAGATTACAATTCTACTATTTTCTTTATCAAACGACCTCGTGTATCCTCTAAAGATTGATCTCCATTTTTTGTCTACTAATTGTGGGCTTCTAATAAGAACGATTTATCCTGGCCTTTTGTCTAGCATTACTGGCTTATAATGACTTCTTGTAATAAACGATTAATCAAATTTCCTAGCCTTTTTTCAAGCTGCTCCTAACGATTGAACGCTCATTGCTAAAAGTCATTTGTCAGTTTGCTCTTAATGACTGTATGTAAACTATTAAACCTTGTCTTGTCGGCTAAGGCTCGTAAACAATTGGATTTATTCTAGACTTTGGTCTATCATATTTACTGTCATTTAATCAAGTATTACCTAATAAAAATCTCTTAAACCACACATCTTTTTGCACTCTTTCCACAATTAATTTTTTTCTTCTTTCTAGCCACATATTCTATTCGCCTTTTCCATAATTTTTTCGTCCCTTTTCAACTAAACATCTTCTCGCATAATTTTAACCATAAAAATTATTCTTTTTGGCACTTTTTTTAAACAATTCTTTTTTTATCATACTTTTTAACAACTTCTCGTGTTAAAATATATTTTTTTAACTTTTTTTGAATCTCCAAATACTCCTTTTCTAACTTTTTGAATAACAAATATACTTTTACAACCCTTTATAACAAAATATTATTTTTAAAACGTTTTAATTAAATTATAAAAACTTTTTCCAAATTCAACATATTCTGTTAGCAATCTCCAATTTTTTTTAAACAAAACTTTTTTTTATCACACTTTAAATAAATTAATAACCCTCTTTTAAAAAATCAAAATCAAACCTTTACTTTTTCTCTTCCAGCACATTCTTACCCTATCAATTATATCAGTATCATACTAAAAAAAATACTATGCCTTCCTTCAATCTTCAACATCTATCTCCATTGATCTACAATTTAATAACCTATTGGATAATAAGTCTAAAACTTCAAATCTTAATTATTTCTCAACCAATACTCACGTCACTTCTCATTTTAATTTTATTTAAAATTTTCATGTTGCATAATGCTAATATTTTATTTCTAATATTTTAATTCTTTTCTCCATTTCTTTTTCTATTAATAACTCTTAGTAATCTTCTTCATTTACCTAATCTTTTTGCATAATATTTTCACAATCACCTAAATGTCCTCTCACAAAAATTTTTAATTGTTTTATGATTCGTATCTTCTCTTCGCTTCATACTATAACCTTTTTAAGATGTTCCCTACTTAGTAAATTATCTGTTAAAAACATATTTTTGCTTCAATCTTATAAACCTCTTCTTTTTATAAAATAAAAATACGTCTTTAGAAATTTTTACAATTTAATAATTATTTTTCTGTTCCTTCGCGAGCATTGAAAATTCTAAATATTTTCTTATCCCCTTTTTTTTATAATTTTACTAAATTTTTAGACCTAAATTTTAATGCATATGCATGTTGAACCTAGTTTTTACCAGCCTCAATTCGAGACTAATATTGAAAAAAATGGCCTACCGAAATGAGACTAATCAAACTAATTTATAATTAAAAGTTATAATAAAGTACATATTAATAAAAATATATTAAAATTATATAATCCAAAAAAAAACATATATTCACATCTTAATATTTACAAAAAATAAACCAAAATTTTCATAATAAACTTTCACAACATTTATTACAATGACTACAATACAAATACAAAATTAGGTATTCGGCTTCATAGCTGCGCTGTTGTATATGTTAAGTGCCTTTTTCCTAGCTAGAGAATATATGCAATTCCGAAAAATGAGGGAACAAGAAAGGGCTTGGAAGAATTATAATAGGTCTACAATGTCTTCCACGATCCGAGACGGTCAACAAGGCAGTCCTAATAGGTAAAATAAAATAATTAATAATGTTTCATTTTTTCTCATAAAAATGACACTTTTTATCAAAAATATTATAGATTTTACCCAACGCCTCCTCCAAATATGAGTAGAGATCCTAGGGGTATATATGATCCCTCTCATCAGAATCCCAATTTCGCGCCCCAATCCAGTCCTACCAGTGTTTACAACCCTGCTTCTAACCCAGATTATTACAGAGGAGACTATTCTAGTCGACAACTACCTCCTAACACGTATTATCCCCCTTCGATCAATTCCCCAACTAATTTTAATCCGAATATTAATAATCAGCCCAACATAGGTTTGAGGGATGCCCCCAGACAAGTACCCATACAATTAGAGGAACCATTGGATTACTATACCACCAAGAGACCTTCTTTCTAAAATGCTTTTTAAAATATTTATTTTTCGAAAACTTACGAGAACATTTTTTTTTTATAAATAATATTTTATACATTTTTTTTTATAACAATTGTTTATTTTTGATTATTTGATTATAAAAATAGTTATACGAAATGATAAAAAGAACCTAAATTTTTCCGTTTTACCCCGCTCCCCAAAATTCTTCCAATTTTATTATATAATTATATTTAATTAAAATATACGACAAAATAGAATTATAAAAGTTTTTTTAAACGCATGAATAATTCATAAATTACTTGTGTTTGTAATATAATATAACCTATTTTTTTTTTTTGAACGAAACGAAGTATATTGTCTCAAATAATTAAAAATTTGTTTTATATATATTTATATTATTAAAACCTTTAACAAAAATGTACATTTAGAAGAGAAAAATCAAGAAAATTTATATATTTTTAATATAAGAAATCTGGCACGCGATATACGTAATTCCTTCACTCATATATAAAATTCTCGAAAAACTTTTTGTCATAATAAAAAAAAAATACATATAAATATTTCCATCGAATTATAATATTAATCTAAAAGCCCGATCGATCAAAATAAATAAATACCTTGAAACATCACCTTTGAATTTTTTTTGTATAAATTTTGAACAAATATAAGTTTTAACTTTAAATTTAATTTTGTTAATTTGTCAAATAATTCTTTTTAAGACTATTATGGTTGGGTCTATAATTAAAATTGACAAAGTGGAAGATGTTATTTGTAGTATTTTAAATAATTTAAATCCTTTAAATTCTATAATATTTACACTTTTCTACATCTTGAATGATTTTTTAAAACTAAACTGATTGTCATCTTCCTCAGCAGAGAAATAACAAATGAGAGAATTTATAAAGTAATTTAATATATCTATTAATATTAAATAAACACATATATAAATGTAATATATTGTAAAATATCTTGAATATCTTGCTTTGAAAAATAAAATTTTTATTAGGTAGTAAAATATCAGGAGAATAATAAAAATGAATGTTAATAAACAGCAGACTAAATAGATCATTCGTTTATTTAGTCATGACCACATTGTTAACACGTTCCTGTAGTGTTGCTATATGGCTCGATTTGAACCGATTTTTAGAAAACTCAATATTTTAGCTATAAAAATATCTTCTAACCCTAGAGATTTCGTTAAATAGAAGTCCAAACTTGTGGCATCTAAAACCAATATCTTCAGGCTTGCGTAATATATTTTTTTTCGGATAAAATATTGAGTTAGCCATTTTTAAAACCTACACAAATCGAACTGTTTAACAACACTACTTTGCTGTTATTTCAGAATTGCTATCTTTTTCGTTAAATATGCTTAATTGTCCTCTATCCCCACCTCCAATTTCATAGTACATAGATATCCCCTTTATAAAAAAAAAGGTTGTGACAACTTTTAATTATTTGAAACAGTTATGTTTCTTAGTTTAGTTTCGGTTGTTTTTATCTTACATAACACACGTTCGACAGCACATAGATGAAGTTAGGTATTTAATATTTATATCAAAATAAAAAACTCGGAAATCCAGATAAATTATATAGTAAACGTTAAGGTTAAATATTTTTAAAAAAATGGTTCATTCAATTTGCGATATCATCATCATTCACATTCATTGCCACTAGAGAGTTATTATAGTGTATAAATATTGTTATAATAAATACATAATTATGTAAATATGTCATTAGATTTGCCAATCTTATGTATAAAATTTAATTTCTTTGCGCTAGAAAACATTTTCATTTAGATTAAATAAAGTTAAAATCATAAATACACTATCGTAAGGTATGCTAATTGGTTCGTGGAAATCATTATATATAGATATACACTGTGTTCCAATCGAATTTATACACCTATTGTTTTAGCAATAAATCTATCAATTCTAAAAATAATTCGATAAAATTTAAAAGATTGAGAGAGGGATAAATTATCAGTGTTTTCTGCAAATTTGTCAAATTCTGTTATCAAGGTCGAAAGTTATGCACATTCAAAATTGGACAAACAAATTTCGAACTTACAAACTAAAAAATAATTTTTTTTATTAAACTTTACAATTTGACAAAAACAGGAAAACATCATTATTTAAAATTTTGAGTCAAATGTTGTACTCCAAAAAAGCTGATGTTCAAAATGCCCGCCTTTAGCTCGAATATATGATCTAAGGCTATCTCGGGATTCATTGATTGTACAATCAACAATTACTTGATCAAAATGATTCCATTCTCCCACAAGTGGCTTCAACGTTGCATATGCGGGTTTGATAAATATATTTGACAATCTATCTTTCTCTTATCTCAATTTCTAAAATTTTCTTATTTAGAATTGATTGATATATACCTAAATCAAAATAGCATATCAATTCATCGAACATATGTCAGTGGCAAAACTCAAGTTCACTAGGGAAGCAATTGAAAACCATTTTTATTATAAAACATATAAAAAAATTAAGATTTATAAATAAGCGGAATTTTTGTTTGTTTCTGAGTAAAATGTCGAATGATATTTAACGCGTCGAATCTATCATATTTTAATGATTTTTGCTAAACATTGAATCAAAACTGCCTTCAAAAAAATATTTGTACCCAAAAATCCTTTATCATTCCAAACATATCTTTTCTTAAAGGATGAGGAATGACCATTAATATAGAGAATTAGAAAATTCACATATAGTGAGCCACATATTTTTTAATCGATAAATAAATTACGAATGCAAATTTTGATTTCTTTTTTCAAGTTTTGTAAATTATTGCTAAATAAAACAAAAGTGAACATTTTTTAATGGATATTACTAGCAATGTTGGTAAAATGTCTAATAATTGCAATATGTGCCTTACTAAAAAGTTATTAATGTTAAATTATCTGTTTTTTAAAAAAAAATTCGGGTACTATTTTTTAAATAAATTATAATATTAAATAAGAAATAAAGATTAAATATCTATTAATATATAAATCTATTTTTATTTAATATTTAAAGGGGAAAAAAAATATTTACTAGCTTATTACAGCTCATATTTTATATTTCAATTTAAAATTAACTAAATATATCTCCAAAGGATCGTTAAATGCATAAATATTAAAATATTATATTAGGAAAACCGAATTAGAGGTCTGCATTGGGCGGGTTTTTAGACCAAAAGCCCGCCCATCCAATGTTTTTAAAAAAATTTAACCCGCCCGCCCAGCCCGCTCATAGTTTTCAAAAAAACATATACCAGTCCACCTGCCCGCCCATTATTTATAAAAAAATTTCGCTTATAAGATTTAATATGGCCATTCTTTCAATTTTTTAAGCATCTAATAAAAATATTTCAGCATACACCTCTACAAAAAGAAAATATTCAAATTATGGACAATTTATTTGATCAAATACAATATTTATGAAATGAATATAAATATAAAATTAAATTATTATATGTAATTATAATGCAAAAATAATAATAAATCGACATTTTCTGGATACAAACACGTTCTTCTTTGTTCTAAAAACCTTCCAGCAATGCTAAATCCTCGTTCAGAAGAAGCACTAGTTGCAGGAATAGTCAATATTTTTCTTGCTAATCGTGATGGCTTTGGCAAATCTCTTGTCGTTTCCACCAAAGTAGGATATCCGTTTAAAGTATATCCTCTTCCTCAAGTGAGATTCGGATGTCCCGTATGCAATATATGTAAAACTCTTTTTTGAAGTGAGTAAAAAATGATTAATCTGCCATTCCAAAATAAAATACCGTGCTATTTTTGTAATCGTTTTCATGCTATTCGTAATAGTAACAAAACAAAATACTATACAGTTTTATAAACCGGACCTCAAGTTAATAGTAGAAACAGATGCATATAACCAAGGATTTGGAGCTGTACTCATGCAAAAATATGATGATGGTAACGAACTTCCAATAGCTTACACCTCAAGAACTCTAAAAGACGCTGAAAAAAATTATTCTACAATAGACAAAGAAGCAAAAGCAATAATAAACGGTTTAGAAAAATTTCATAACTATATGATTATGATATAATGTACAAGAATGGCGCTAATAGTATAATTGCAGATGCTTTATCGCGAAACTAAATAGAGAAAAAGGATGATAGAATAACAAGCGAAGATAAAACAGTGAAATATATAAGAAATCTTACTTATGACACATTAACTCTACCAAGAAAAGAATTTAGAGAGGAAACCGAGAAAAATCCAATTTTAAGAAGAGTAAAAATATTAATAAATGGTACAAATATACAAAATCAAGCACCAGAATTACAAGCTTCTAGAATAAAAATAGAAAATGATATCGGTATTTTATTTTGGAATGGCATATTAATCCTTCCGTACTCACTTTAAAAAAGAGTTTTACATATATTGCATAGGGGACATCCGGGTATTACATCAATGAATTCCATTCGAGACATTATAAATGGTGGGAACAATTAGATAAAGATGTCGAACAACTAGTAAAGTGTACTTCACTTAAAAAAAAGATTGGTACAATAAAAATTGTTCTTGATCATATAATTAATTATGATTTTTCTTTAGTTTGTTTTTGAACAAAAACTTTAAATTTCCTTAACCAGCCCGCCCATTGTTAAATTTCTTAACTCGCCCACCCACCCGCCAGCTCATAGTTTCAATTTTTTTATAACCCGCCCGCCTGCCCATTCTCGAAAAAATTTTTACCCGCCCACTTAGATGGGCGGGCGTGGGAGGGTGGGCCTCTAACCCGAATGATTATTGGTTAGCGTTTTTTAAAAAATTTAGGTGTAGATGTAGAAAACTTAATTTTAAAAAAACGATAGGTTTCTTTGACATTTAATTTATAAGTAGGTTTAGAATTGAAGAATAACCGAAATTTGTAAGGCAAACACGTTTTGAGTCGGTAATCGGTCAAATCACAATATTTTTAAAATATTTTATAGAATAATGCTTAATAGGTAAATGTGCACTCATATAAAAGAAAAAATGAAGAATTTTCCATTAACGCCAGCAATGCAGTATTTTCTCATTGGCCGATTCTGAGTTGGTAATAGTTCAAATCACAATATTTTAGAAATAGGGATAATGTTATAAGCATTGGAAACATATATGAAGGGATTTCGATAAATAGCGCCAACAATGTGTACCTTACAAATTTGCGGTTCTTCTTCGATTCTAAACCTACTCATAAATTAAATGTCAAAGAAACCTATCGTTTTTTTTAAAATAAGTTTTCCACATGTACCTAAATTTTTTAAAAAACGCTAACCAATAATCATTCGGGTTTCCTAATATAATATTTTAATATTTATGCATTTAACGCCATCCTTTGGAGATATATTTAGTTAATTTTAAATTGAAATATAAAATATGAGCTGTAATAAGCTAGTAAATATTTTTTTTCCCTTTAATATTAAGTAAAAATAGATTTATATTATAATAGATATTTAATCTTTATTTTTTATTTAATTAAATGTTTATTAAAAATTATTTAAAAAATAGTACCCGAAAATTTTTTTTAAAAAAAGAAAATATAACATTAATAACTTTTTAGTAAGGCAC